GACGCGTACGATAATGATCGAAATAATTTTCAAGCCGATAAGGTCACATAAAATGCAGCTGCGCGAAATGGCCCTTCGTTAGAGGAGTTTATCAGTTAATCGATGTTTTCGACTCTTTTCGGCAAAAGCAACGTCTAAATTAAACACTTAGGTAAATTGAAGGTGATAGATAATTCCACGTATATAGAAATACTGTCAATAAACCATTAAAAAAAGAGGATTATCCTCCAGTCTTGACCACTAGTATTATCATTGACATAATTTTTATGAGTGTCAAAAATTGTGGGTGTTTCAGCCGATTTTCCAAAACTGCGCCTCAACGATCCATCCTAAAATATACTTCCGCAGGATGAAAACACTTAATGAACAAACCAAAAAGAAAACAAACGAAAAGAAAAAAAGTATTGAAGACCGAATGAGCCCTATTGTAGATACCTTGCCTTACAAAATTTACTTTTTTGGGAAAAATACAAAACAACGCATTGAGACTCACCCTGCCTTGACTTTCTAAAAATGAAAAAAAAAAAAAAAAAAAAAAAAAAAAAAAAAAAAAAGCCTGTTCCAGGCATTCAGATAATAAAACGGAGCGTGATAGTAGTCGGCGGCGCGATATTAGCGCCGCGGCACTAAAAACGAAGGAAGTTTTGGTCGAGTCGCCAATGATAATAAACTATTCGCAGCTGCGCAAAAAAATTTAAATTTCCCTAGATCATTTAAGTTAGGTCACAGTTTTTATTTTACTTGGAACGTGAGTATTAACCAAAAATATTTGTAGAAAGGGATAGATGCGTGTCTAAGAGGGTCTCTGAAAATGAGAGTCCTGCAAAATGGTGTTAGTTTTCTTTTATTTAGACACCCTTTGTTTCCTATTTGAATGAAGGAAACTTCCATCGATCATGAATTGCTTTCAGAAAGATTACAATACTTGTGATCTCTTTAACATAAAATCATTATCCGTGGATAGTGAAAGAAGGTGAAATTGTTATTTGTTTGCTATTTATAATTAACACCATTTAAAAGAAGCCTGTTTTTAATTTACGTCTCATAAAGTTTTTGCCAGTGACACCCCCTTTTCCCTTGTCGAAGCAGCCGAATTTCAAAATTACCTTTCGCATTTTTTTACCAAGGACCTCAAACAGAGAACCCTTTTTTTCCCCACCTATCTATTCTTTGTTTGAATTTGAATTGAGTGGGTATCAACCCAATTTTGATATCAATCAACATGAACCTTTGACCAGGAGGAACTGAATGAAAACAAGCCCTGTAATTTAGGAAAATGGACCCTGATAACACAGGTGTATCTGAGTGACCAAACTAGCCTACAAGACCCCATTCTGATATCCCAAGTACAAATAATGACACACAACCACCCCCAGTGGATCTCACCATCGAAATCGCATCAACTTGTTCAAATCACTCTGGCTTCTGCTTAACATTGTCTTGATTGTTGTAAAGGACCTCACAGCTACCCGGCAGCTCAAAACTGACATATTGTGAAAAGCAATCAGAGTGTCGTTGAGAACTCGTCGCTTTCCCGGAAGTTTTAAATTTTTCAATTCAATTTTGTATTTTCGCGTTGACATACTGAAAAGAAGGAAGCCTTAAGAGACAAAACGTTAAGAAAAACGACGTAGCTATTAAGTACAGGAAACGCGATGAAAACGCGGTAAATGGAAAGCATGCAGAGGTTGATCCCTTGGTGCAAAGACAAATCGATATATAATTTAACTGCTGTATTATACTTGTTTTGCTCCTTGCATACTTCTTCAATAATGATATATTAAGTTATAAACTCGAGAAAGGAGAGTAATATCTTCGCCACACTATGACTGCGAAAACTTTTGATATCACGTAGTGATGATCATGCAACAATGCTGAAGTAAGTATTGAGTGGAAACTGACAGTAAAACCAATACAGCAATATGAGGTCCAAAGGAGACTAATGAATTTTGGTGAGCATCGTATTCAAATGGGCGCCCGAGGTTAACTTTACTCGTTGCACGTATCCAGAATACCCTCAAATGCGCTAGTATTCAGGGTCGCGATTGAGTTTTCAAGAAGCACACTTCAGGGTGGAAAGAGTGAAGTGCTTCGCGAATTTTAAGAGCAATATTTCTTTCAGCGTAGAATATAAAACAACCAGACACATTTTTTGGTACTATAGCTTTAAAGATACGGTGTGCTATAATACTCCAGAATATTTTAGGAGTACGAGACAAGCGTGGTGTACTTTTAAGAATATGCCAGAGAGATTACTGACGCGAGGTATTCGAGCACAGTCACGGCGAATATTCCAGGTTTGCGCGGGGTATTGTGCGCGACTCGAATACTCTAGGACTCGGATGAGGCATCACGATCACGTATACTCAAGGATACTTTGGTTTTTTGCGCACTGTAAAAAATAGGTCCGCAATGTGTGGCTTACGAAATTGAGCTGCTTTTTAGTGTCTGGTGTCTCATTGGGTTTCTATTAGAATAGCTAATATCTGATTACCATTAGATAGTTTTCAATATTGATCCTGTTCATCATAACACAAGATATCTAGCATACAAAAGTCCTGAAATGTTCACTCTGAAGATGAGAGTTATTGGCCAAACTTTGTTATGGAGGTCTCATTTTGACAACAAAAGTTGCACATGTAACCCGAGAATTTAAGGAACTGAAAAAACATCAGCATAATCTCCCATAGTGGTCTGATAGATTCAGTCATGATTATGTTTACGTAACGAAGTGGAATTGACTTCTGAAATGTGTAGGTTGATTGTCTTTTCCAAGGCAAATGATGAGAAATGAATTCTAGGGAAGAATTTCATATGAATATTTTTGACATTTTGTGTACCAGTACACAAGGACAAAACTTTGGAGAAGGGCAGGGGCATTCGGGAAATGATGTAATCTACACTAGAAGCCATTGGGAGCTTGATTTGGTTTGAATGTATGACTAATTTTGGACAATGCATACATGTAAAGTAACACTATGCTGGGTGTAGGTTTCTTTTGTCCATTAAGGCATAAAGTTCAACTTTCAGTTGGTTGAGAGCAAAACGTTTACTATAATTATTGTATTTAGGTTTTTTGGGACTGCATTTTCAATAAAGAACACAGAAAAATTTAAATCAGGTAGGTAGATATGAGGTTGCAAATGGAAGAGTCTAGGGAAAAAAGATAGGTGCATTACAAGATCAGAACACAAGCAATATTTTAATATGTAAACGTTGCTAATAATTTTTAACCCAATAAGATTTACAATTTGACCTGGAGGTTTTATTTAACAGAAAGTTCAATAGAGATAGAGTGTTACCATAATAGATTTCAGGAACAGTAATCAGAGGCATAACTTTAATAGACACAGCAGGTTCAATGTACAGGCAAGTGCATGATGGTATCATATGATTTAAACTACCAGAAGCTTTCAAGTCTTCTTATTATTGAAATTGTAATTTCATGCCAGTGAGTCTACCAAATTCAAGTTATGTGGAGAAATGAATGGGTGAACTTGACATCACCATGCAAATGGTTGACTTAACATCATCATGCAAAGTGCTAATCTGCCGTACAAAAAGGTCCAAAACAAACATGGTTAGCAACTGAACTTCATTTATCACTTTGTGTTAGAGCACACAAGAGGACTTGTGAGGCCTGCTTCACTCTTATTTGCCAGAAAAAGATTGAACTTCTGGTACCAATCAAAATTCAGAATGACTGTGACAGTTTGGAACTGATCTGTTAAGACTGTGCTTTTAAGGGGTCTACAGATGTGATTAGAACCCTGGGTCTCCGAGGATACCTGATGGTTATCTAATCCACATCAAGTAGCTCTAACTTTTAACTATATATGTAACAAATGTCAGTTCCATTGAACTGTCTTCATAGAAACTTAACAAAGTCTAAGCTAAGTTAATTAAAGTGTACTTAGGTATTCTAAATAAGCAGAAGTAAATTTTTCACAAATAATAAATGTTGAGCTCATAGCGTGTGTGCAGTTTAAAGTATTTGAAAAATTTACAGCTGCCTACCATATGAGAAATCATGTTATTAATTATTCATAATGTATACATGAAAGATACACATTCACAGGAAATCAACAAACTGATGGCAAATAAATTTGACAGTATTGACTAAATGAAGTGTGTGCCATCAAAATTTGTCCTTCAGCTGAATTCTTACTCAAGAATGCAATTTGTTAGTGTTTATCAATATACATAAAAGTATCCAAGCTTTTGTTTATTTTTGTCAGCTACTGCATGTATCAATCAGAACAACCTACTTTGTGTAAATCTGATTGGTTTCTAATGTGATCTATTGTTGCTGAGCCTAGTTTATATTATTTTGTACATGGGTTATTACTTTTTCACTAATGATAATGAAAAAGGCACCTAGCTATTTTCAGCCAATCAAAAAAGTGTAATTTTTCATGTATATCAGTATTGTGATGAATTCACCAAGCCAAACAAGTAACTGAAAAGGAGTTGTAGTCTACCAAATAAAGGCCTAATACACATGTATTGCCACCAAGTATAGATACCAATGCTTATCTGAACCATAATTATGAAGAGAATCTAGAAGACTGCCAAGCTTGAAGGAAGTCATGAAATGTTAAGGTCTGAATAATTCTGACCATAACTTGGAAAACATAACACTAATCACATTTCAATTAACATTAAAGCACTAGGCTCCTATTCATATTTTAATAAAAGCAAAACCACTTTGTTACTGAGTTTCAATGGATTACTCCCCAAAGTTTGGAAACAATCACAATAGACATTTAGCACCATGTTAACAACAAACTGCAGTTTCAGCTTAGGCGTTAGATGTTTGTGACTTTTATTGGTTTAGCTATGAAAGTATAATTTCATTTAAAGAGGCTGTCAAATTGAATTTCCAGTGTTTGATTTTCTAATGGCAACAAAAAAGTCCTATTTTCACTACTGGCTAAAAATGGTTTATTCTATTTGTATTCAATGACATGTAATGACATGGGTGGCAGGGTATTCTGCAGTTTGACCAAAATTTTATCTTTGCATGTGCTAAAAAGACTGGTTAAGTAATTTTCTTACTGAGCATATGGTATAGACAGAAATTCAGGATTAAAAATGTTCCAGTAAATGACTTACATGAAATTTGACCACACAGAGAGTCAATAATGACTCCTAAGTTTCAAGGTGGCGCAACCTGCACTAAAGGTCCAGACCATGAAATGTTGGCCTGTGAGAGCACAACTCCATGCTGTAATCTGCACTTAGAAGACAAGCTGACTGTAAGAAAGCTGGCGTGTGAAATCTAAGCAACAAAGATGAATGAAAAACTAGATAAAAAAACAATCTTTGACAGCGTGTTACAGCCACCATTGCAAAATGGGTTGCTTTCTGAAGCTTTGAAGCTTAGGTAACTTAGCCGAGCATAGACTGGAACCTATCTTCAACAATAGTAACCCACGTGACAAGCACTCTTTTCACCGTGACAAATCCAGCAAGGAATAAGTATCTTGGATCATGACATAGCTTGGGTTACACTTCGTGTAAACCACACGAAAACAGTTACAGGATAAACCAATAATTGCATAAAAACAAATGCAAGCACAAAAAACAAAGTTTATTTCCAACAGAAAACCTAGGTGAACACAATTATGCATCTAGTTTCATTCTGATATTGGCGTTGGTTTAACAGTCTCTTCTCTCTACATTCTGCTGATTCATTTGCAATTTTTGTCTTTGATACTGAGATTGGGTTGCCAGCCTCTTTTTTCTTGATTCAGAAGATTCATTTGCACGTTTCTTTTCCCTGTTCAGAAGCTGCTGGGCCAGCCTCTTGTCCCTAGATTCCTCACTTCCATTTACCCTTCCTTGTTTCTCATATTCATGTCTAGCAATCAATTGTTTTTCTTTTTCTTCTGGCGTTTCAGTTAAAGACTTTTGCTTCCTTTTCATATGTTGTGTTTGGGTTCTTTTATTTCTGAAAGGCAAATGTTCAATTTTTGGACTCTCACGAACATTTTGTAAATGAAGTTCATTATCTCTGACAAAGACACCTTTAATTTCAAAAGGAACAAACCCTATTTGTAAGCAGGAAATGTTCAAATATGATACAAGGTTTTCAATTCCTTCAATGGTAAGCAAAGTAAATTTCCTTCATGAGTGGGGCATCCCATGCAAATCCCTGGAATGAGCATCAAAAATTTTAAAGCTTTGTTCTGAATTCTTAATCACTGCAATAGTACTATTTATTCCAATCGTTAACAAACAACAACTGTAGTTAAGTTGACAATTTGAAAACACTTCTGTCAGAGAATTTTGAAGAGACATGTATGGCCCATTATTTGATGTCATGAACAAACTTCCTGTTAAGGACTCACTATATTCCAGTGTGTATACATTATTGTAAATTGAAACAATGTATGAAACATCAGTTAAAAGCAAATAATCATTTGTCTGGACAGAACGTCTAATAGAAGCATACAAATTATTTCTAATGGTAAGAATATTATCCAAAATGGACTAAGTCCACAAATTGATATCCTCTATGTGATGATAAATAGTAGCAGTAAGTGACATGGCTAGACATTGCTTACCAGCATTTTCACCAAAGAGAGCTTCATTTCCTTGACTGTAGTCAGCACATATTGTTCTTGTTGGATCGATGACATCAAATATTGTAGGGCCTGGATTTTCCTCTACATCATTTGCCTGCCTTGAAAGCAATGGAATATAGGCATTGTAGAAAATCATTTTTGAAAACCAAAACATCACATCATTCCACATTTTGTGTTGTCCAACAACTTGTTTCAATACTGGCAAGTAAAATACATTTAAATAGAACATCACAACCATTAAACTCCAACAATGATCATTAACACGTGATAAGATATCCTTGGTTTACACGAAATTGTCACGAGAGCCAATACTTGACCGGTATTGTTCAATCGAGATTCCCATACTTACTTTGTTTTGAGATATGCCTCCGTGAATTCTCAACAGTGCAAGGAGAAAGCAACTGCAATACAACTTATTTCACTTTCTGGCACTTTCAGGTGGCTTCAGACACTTTAAAACACTTTCAGACACTCAGTGGTGCAACCCGCACCGATAGATCAAGCCGATAGTTGTTGGCTTGTGAGAGTGCAATAACTCCTTTCAGTGTGGTACAACCCGTACCGAAGATTCGAGCTGTTAAATATTGTCTTTTAAGAACGTAGAAGCTCTAGCACAAGCTGCACTTATAACACAAGCCGGGTCTGAATGTGTTGGCTTGTGTGAGGGGAACTAACTCGTGATACGATCACCTGAAAAAAATTACTCGCGACCACGCTTACAATCAAGATGGCTAACTCAGATTAGTGCGCGTTAGTGCGCCGTACAATACTACGTTACTAGACCACGTGATAGGCGCTCGACTCTCGTGTACAAATAAATAAATAAATCCGATCGTGCCATAATGTTGCTACACACGTTGTGTAAGCCACACAAAAATGACAAAAAATTTCCAAAAATTCTGTATGAAACAGAGTGTGGCAGCTTTTGGTACAGTCAGTTTCTCAGAATTCTTAGCTATTTTTGTGTGTTTTCTTAGAAGCTGAGCGTCATCCTTTACAACACTTCGTGATTGGTCGAATCTTTTGGCTAGACATAAACACGAAACATTTGCATATTCGATCGACTCAAAACGTAAGATTCATACATTCGACGAAAATCATGGATGTAAAAAAACTGCAAGAAGATTTGCGCTGTTCTGTGTGTACGAACACATATACTGATCCGAAGCAACTGCCATGTTTACACTGTTTCTGTCTTCAATGCTTGAACGATATTCAACGGCAAAGTAACGATTGCGACAGCATTACATGTCCAGAATGCCGTCTGGAATTTTCTGTCCCAAGCAGAGGAAATCTGAGCGACTTTCCATCAAACATTCGTGTCAGCAACATGCTCAACGTTTTGGCTATTAAAGAGCGCAACACATCGGAAGTGAAATGTGGAAATTGTGACGAGAAGAGCTCTCAGTGTTTCTATTGCTTTCACTGTTGTATCTTCTGGTGTGAGGAGTGTGTCATTGCTCATAGTACTATCCGAAATAACAAAGGACACCGTGTTCTACTTGTGAACGATTTTCGAGATCATGACTTCGAAGAGATCTCAAAACGACCCGTGAAACTTGAATTTTGCTCCAAGAAGGACCACGAAAAAGAGGAATTGAGATTCTTTTGCGGGGATTGTGAAAGGGCCATTTGCAACATTTGCGTCGTGACAGTCCACAACCGTCACGCAAAGATGCTCTTGGAAGACGTTCTAACTGAAAAAAGGGCAGAAATTATCTCTTTGATTAATTCTAAACGGAAATTAATTGAAAAAAAGCATGGTCAAATAAATGAACTACAAGTCAAATGCACTGAATTACAAAATAAAGTGTCAAACGTGAAGCGCGACGCACGCTCGTTAGCAGATAATATTATCGCGGTCATTGAAGCGAAGATGCGAGAAATGTTTGAGGACGTGGATAAGCAAGCCGAAGAAATACTCGATTTCTTTAAAAATCAGCAAATCTGTTTGGAAAAACAAGTACAATCAGTGGAGAAAGAAATTGAAGAAATTGAAGAATTTGTGAAAGGAAGTACAAGGGCCGAGCTTTTACGGTACAAATCCAAATTAGAAAAATCTCTACATGTCAGTGCACCTGAAATTGGAAACTGCAGTGACCTAAGAAAAAATTGTCACCTAATTCTAAAACAAAATGACGCATCAATGAAGGCATTACAGGCTCATGGAATTGGTTCAATGAAAGCGTTCCTGACTCTCACTTCATATAGTAAATCAAGTGCCGATGTTAAAGGAATGAGGGAGGCGATTGTTGGATTGGAGGCTCGCTCTGTTTTGACTACGAAAAATGCTGAAGGCGAAAAGTGTTACACAGAGCATGACGAGATAAGCGTAAGAGTTACAAATTGGGATGGCCATGATAGTGTCACGACGGCGCAAGTCCAAGATAATAGAGACGGTACCTACTTCGTCACTCATTTCTTTACGGAAACAGGAAAGCACGAAATCTCAGTAACTATAAATGAAGAGCACGTTTGTGGGAGTCCTTTTGCTGTTGTTGTCAAACCAAGAAGCTTCGTCCCTTTGTCAACATTTGGAGAACAAAGGATGCATGCTGGAAGCCTTAGCAAGCCTTGGGGCATTGCAGTGAGCGCCCGTAATGAAATAGCAGTGACTGAAAGCGATGCGAACAGAGTTCAGGTATTCAGCTGCAATGGGACATATTTGCGCTCTTTTGGAAGAAAGGGCGATCAGAAAGGAGAATTTTACTATCCTACTGGCATAGCATTTGATAATAGTGGGAACATTCTAGTAGCAGACACTTTTAACCATCGCATTCAATTGCTTTGTGACCGTGGGAAGTACCTCAGCCAATTTGGAGGAGAAGGAAGTCTTGATCACCAGCTCAAGTATCCACACGGCTTGTTTGTGGACAGCGTAGGTAATATCATTGTTGCTGATTCAGGCAATAAATTAGTCAAATTCTTTTCAAATACTGGTTCTTGTTTAAAGAAAATAGGTGAAAAATTTTGTCTAACAAAACCACTCAATTGTATTCAGCATGACGATCTATTTTTGATATCAGACATTTCTGAGCATTGCATCGTAGTATTTGATAGAAAAGGGCAATTTCAGTACAAAATCGGAAAAAAAGGACAGGGGGATGGGGAGTTCAATGAACCATCTTATGTCTCAGTTTACAAACCCGGAGAACTGATGATTTGTGATTCATTAAATCACAGAGTTCAGATAATCAAATTAAATGGCACACTTGTCTCAAAATTTGGGGGAAAGGGACATAAGGTGGGAAAATTAAAGAGACCAACCTCTTCAGCCGTTCTCCGTGATAACAAGATTGTACTGACTGATTGTTTTAATGACCGCATACAAATATTCAGCTAGTAGAGTCTCCCACTAAATAATTTGGGATTTTCAGTGGGCTTTTACATATATCAAACTGACCTCCTATAAAAGTGTTTTCGGGGAAAATGACGCTTGTTAGATATATTCATATTTCCACCTATCGCGCTATGAGCTTTCTTTTTAGCCAGAAACACAAGTTCTAGAAAGATTCTACGCTATCGTGAGTAATTTCGTTTGAGAATCACTTTTCCTCATCCTAAATTAGAAGGAGAGGCTAGTTCAGATGTTGTTTCAATTTATTTACAGAAAAATAAGTGTCACTCGTTACAAAAATAACATGGATATTTACAGTATTTTCACTTACTGTTGTTACTTGAAGATATGTGTAAAGTCAATCAGAATAAAGTATTGCAAAACTCAACCGAAACTAGGACTGATTATTCTCAAACATAGCTCACAACAAGTCAGAAAGGTAAAAATACATTGGCCATGTCCTGAAATTATTCGAGCACGTCCTTTGCACTCTCTTACCAGAAGTGGTTTCAAGTTGGCTTTTTTTGATTGCTCGCGCCATTTTAAATTTTCTCCTTTGTTTTAGTTGCCCTGTGATGCCGCTAAACTCCAAAGTTCAAGTAATACATTAGCTAAGTTTCAACGTCATGCTTCGCTAAATGAATGACACAGCCATTCTAATTACTTTTTCGAATGTTCAAGAAGGTGCAGTAGTAATGTATTATTCAAAATAGTTAACTTGAAGGTGTTTCACCTCTTCAGTATTCAGTTGGTTAAAATTTTCCGATAAGTTAGATTTGTGTTAAATGTTGATTGATTAAGTCTAGTTCAGGCCTGCCCATAAAATAAAATTTACTAAAATAAACGAACTCAATAGAAATTCTTAGTTATCATAAAAGTCCCTCTTTTTAAACCAAAGGTATCCATTACCTTAAGTGTAAAAACAGAAGAAACAAAAAAATCGCAACGGGAAGGACAAGACGGTGGATGGTGCAAGGTCATTGAGAATCTCTTATCTTTTTCATTACGGTGCTACTTTTTACCAACCTAAAATGTTTAGTGGGGAGAATGTCAGTTCTCAGCACCTCATCAATGCAATACCAAAGCAGTTACTCACTGACCAGGCATGCTTATATCAGATATCAAATCTTGAGTAGATCTGGCGCGGCCGCTTAGAAAGCATAGCTCTCTCATCTTGCATTTTCAACTAGTCTTGTTTCTCGCATCCTTTATGACATAAATTTTTGATCACAACAGTGAAGCCACGGATAACTCGTCTACAGTTGCTGCTTGAGCCTTTTCGCGTATTATATAATACCAAGTGGGGAAGAGGGGCGCAATAAGGACTCATGTTGGCAAGTGCAATGCTTCATTCCAACTGAACCATATTTGCTGTCTCTACTTTCACTTGCCTCGGTCGAAATAACCGAGGGACTGTCACAAGCGGAAAATTGCTTTCTAATCGATATCTGGTCGTCGCTGCCGATGTTCTGACTGTTATAAAATCGAACTATTTCCGATAGATAACCAAGATCCTCGCTTCCTGCTCGATCATCGTCATTGTGATCAATGATAATGATATCTCCTGGGTTGACGTTTATTTCTTTGGTTTCGTCACCATTTCCTTGCAGTTCTATAGTCACACTCTTTATTTTGTTCACTTCATCTTCGTCTTCTCTTTTAACCATGGAAAATTTTCTCTTCCTTAATTTTTTCTTGCAAAGATGAATTGCTAACAGAAACAAAAGCAACAAAACAGTGGCACCAGCCACTCCCGACAAGAATACGACCAGGGTATCGCGTGATTGTTCTGAAAGCAACGGTTAAATTTGACATTTAATAAATAAAGAAGCTAGGTATCGTGTTCCTTTTACCAACAAAGTGATAAGCTAATACTATGTACATATACTTTAAGGAAAAGAAAATAATCATGAAGTTGTAACCCGTTTCGTCATGAGTGTGGAACGAAACGGATCAAGTTTACGAGTGACCAACATGGATGCATGTTGCTCTGTCTTTAGATTAGATGGTCACTCCCTAATAACCAGCAAAAACTCTAAACTCTCATAAAATGGGTTGAATATATATCACACTCGCTCTAACGAAGGGCTAACACTTGATACGTCAGCTTAAGAAACTCTTTACGGTGGCCAATTTACATTATCAACTCAGTTGATATAGAACCAAATTATCTTCTAATACCCACCCCCCCCCCCCCCCCCCCCTTCCCATTGATACAGCACCACAATTTCTTTAAAAACTTAGCCCTTTATTCATTGCTTATATTTGTTGAATGTTATCTTGCATGATATTATGGAGGATTATCAGATATCGATCGTGGTATCGTTAACAAATCTCTGATGCTTGAGCCTCACTTAATGCTCTCGACTGAGTAATTCATATTTTCAAAAAAAGATGATGTTTGAATATTCTTCATAATAAGCTCATAATGCCTTCGTGTTATGATCCTAAGTTAAGTCTTAGTCTTGAAGTTATCTCATTTAGCTAAAATAATAAAATTAAGAGGCGCCTATTCAACTTTAAGAGATTAAGTTACCCATCAGCTTTAAAAGTTAAATATATGATTGTAATAACAGGTTCATTTACAGGTTCAGTTACACAAGAAACCTTCAGGAAAAAGCCAAATGGTTCAAAGTTGTGGAGTCATATCTGTCATAATAAAAAACAGAGGAATCGGTCAGACAATTGCTTTTTTTTATTTTGCTACTAGGCAAGTGTTTTTCAATTTTATTATTTGTTGTTGAAATGCCCTTCACGCTTTTTTTTTTTTGGAGGGTAAGATTTTGCTCATGGTTTCTTCGTGATCATAAAGTTATCTCAGACACTGGGTGTGGCACAGTAGACAAGGTTATGTAAAGTCATCTTAATTCAGATTTCTCCTTCGTTTAATTAGACTTGAAAAGGTACAAGACTTGGTTAGCATTACGATTACAGTTGTTATACTGTAATTTAGATTTCTCGCTGGTTTTTTCTTTTTTTCAAATTTTTTTTGTCTATTTTAGTTAAGATTTGATCGATCAATCTACTGATTCATCTACCCCGGTAATGCCACTTGCTCTAACACCAAATCCACTTTTTGCTGCATGCACAGGCGGTATCTAACGAACGAAATTTTTGGTATCATGAAGAGCATAACATGGATTGTCTTCTGGATACACACAGAAGCGTTCTTTTATACACCATAGCCAAGAGGAAATAAGGGCTCATTATTTTCTCTTGTCCATAGCTCAGAGTTGTTGCCGATGTAGTATTCAGCAGAACGAACATCCCTTAGATGTGTGTTTCTGGGAAAATATTTTTCTCCCAAACACAATTTTGTTGAGCTGGAGGATTCGTATATTAACTTCATCATATGACTTCCCCAGATGAATTTGCGTGCATGCGACCGCCCTCATTAGCGTGAATACAACGTTCGTGTCTGAGTTTAATGTGTCGTACCTGAAATGAACCTGTATGTGACGTACACAGATCTCAGCAGGACAAAAATCACGCCTTCCTCACCTTCCCTGCCTGAGGCTTTTGAATCTGGAGCTTTTGGAAGTGACTTTTTTTTCTTCGTGGTCCAAGTGGATAGGAAGCTAAGGGTGGTAGATTTTCTCGTTGGTAAAAATTCTCTTTTTGTGTTAGATTGATTCGTTCCGCTGATGTTGTTTATCGAACTATTTTTACCAGTTGTGCTGTCCGTTGAACTCTTTAGACTAGGTCTTTTTGTTATTGGCGATTTCATGGTTACTAGAGTCGTTCTGTTAAAACGAGGTTTCGTCTTTGACTTTTTCGACGTTGGTGTCGGAGTCCAATTATCGCCAGGAACTGTATAGGAATATTGAAGATGTTGAAGTATAGGTTAAAACAGGGTTTGTGTTGACAGCTAAAAGTTTTCATCAACTTGGTTTGGCCTTGTCACCGAGAAGTGCTCTTTTGGGGACTACCGGAAACGATTCATTTAGCACACCTTTGGTAGTTGAAGGATTGATTATAGCTGTCGCTAAGATTACAATCTATGCCTCTATTCGATATGAGCAATGAAGGCATTTATTAACAATCCAATGGAAAGTGTGGAGGTACAAATACCAATTTCCCTTTTCCATTTTTCGCTCTAAGTCGGGCTCAGACTCAAGGTGAAGGGCGTTCTTATTTCAAGTTGATAAAAAACTTGTGTAACAGCATGAATTAAAATTCACTGCTGTTCCCCCGACACCTCAGCCTTCCCTGACACCTTTCGAAGAGTAGCTTCCCAAATAACAGAAAAAATGATACATGAAGCGGAAAAAAAGCAAAAACAAAAACAAAAACAAAAACAACTCACGATGGACTTACCACATCCATAAATAACCTCCAGATACTTGTATGTGCCAGGACAAGGATCTCGAAAAAAAGAACTGTCCGCTTTTATGATACACCTTCTTCTATTGGTACACATTGCCATAACTTTCAATAGCACACCTTCCGCCTGACAGTTAAAGTCAGTGATATTCTCGTGTGGACATATTGAACTCCCAGGCTCTAAACGACCATATTTGGCATTGAATACACGAAGGACGTAGTCACTTTCACAGCGCAAGCGTAACTTCTCACCCTCGCACGCAAATCTTGACTTCACAGCACAGGTACCTTAGGTGAAAGAATTACTTGTGAACAAAAATTTTTCCCACTCAAGGGTGGGTAAAAAGTTACAATGTAGTGAAATAACATGAGTGATATGCAGAGAAAAATGATTGAGGCAAGCAAATAAGGAGATACTTGTGATATCAACTCTGGCTATACACAGGCCAACCTCTAATTGATTTATCATCATTTTTTTTTGTCAATTCAGGACCAGACACTCCCCTCAATTTCCATGCTTTTATTTGTGACAGATAACCTAAACCTAAAATCTCCCACTAGTAACGATATGGCCTCGTTCGCCGCTAAGGCATCGACAAAACAAAACAATATGGGCGTGGTTAACTTTCTGAACAGTTGTCACCTTATAGCACCTTCAATCTAATAAAGTTTTGAGATTATTACCCACTTGCAAAATCTTAATTATATGCGTAAGTCAGTTGCGTTTTCAATCAAGTGCTTCAGTAAAACATGATACATTTTAGTTTTAAACGCAACGGGGAAAAACAATTGTCACCTTATAGAACCTTATATTGAACAACTGTCACCTTATAGCACCTTCAATCTAATAAAGTTTTGAGATTATAACCCATTTGCAAACTCTTAATTATATGAGTAAGTCAGTTGCGTTTTCAATCAAGTGCTCCAGTAAAACATGATACATTTTAGTTTTAAACGCAACGGGGAAAAACAATTGTCACCTTATAGAACCTTATATTGAACAACTGTCACCTTATAGCACCTTCAATCTAATAAAGTTTTGAGATTATTACCCATTTGCAAAATCTTAATTATAAGCGTAAGTCAGTTGCGTTTTCAATTAAACATGATACATTTCAGTAGTTTTAAATGCAATGGGGAAAAACTTTGCTTAATTTTGAATTCATACAGTTGTCGTTTCTATTGCTCCTATCGGCGCGTTGGAACTGAAGGCGACACATGAGTTGAATAAATTCGAATAGCTCTCTGCATATAAATGACGCCTACATATACAAAGAAGTCTTAAGATTGTACTTGGTTTCAAGTACAATTTTTAAGGTTGATAGGCTCTGAACTATTACTAAAGCGACAGCTAATCAGACACAAAAATGCGGCCTAGAGGAGACTAAACCAAACGTTAAGTTGAGCAGTTGATAAAGAGTTTCTACTTTAGTTCTCAACAGACTGATACTGTACCATTAACCCAATTCACTACCCTCTCTTAATCTACCGACCAAACTTATTGATCAATGATAATTATGTCAATACAGTCAGAAAATTTAAATTTATTAATCGATTATTTCGCCCAAGGTTTGCGCCCAAATTTACAGCTCACTCTCTCATATAGTCATAATGAGCTAGGAATAATGTGATAATCTCGTGCACCGCACAGAAATGACATTATTAAGTTTTTCTAAAGTTGATTTGGTTACGTAATGTAACTGATTGCAAACCCGAGTAACTGAGGAGCACCAGCTGTTTCATAAACTAATGAAAAAACCCCCTCCGAGTAGTTTTCCATGGAGGATACTCAATTCGTCCTTGGCCTTTGCCGTATTATCGTGATGTAATTTTTTATTGGATCAATGAGTCCCCTTATTGTTTTTGTCGAGACAATGTTCCATAGTTTTCAAAGTAGAAAAGGGAAATTGTGCTTCATCAACAGCTCCCGTGGCTAGCCACTGATCACGTTCGAAAAAGTGTTTTCTCCGCAGACCAAAATAACATAAAATTTTAATTAAGAGTTACTCTTTAGCTAAAAGAAAATTTGCCATCTCTCTTCCCTAAATATATAGCGTCGTCTCGCCAGTAGTGAGGTAAACAAAAGCTCTGGGCGGTTAAAAAAAATTCACTGTCATTTTAGGAAAAAGCTGTTATAAAAATTTTAAAAAACGGGATATGATCAGACGAACTAAGCTGCTTTACAAGAAATATGCTCTGAAGAAATATGCTGCTTTATACGTAACCACACGAAAATTAAAACGCATAGATTCAGTGACATTGCACCTTATCACATATCACAGACAGGTCAGTTAGAAAGAAATTTATAAAGAAAGAAATCCAGAGAGGATGTATTCCTCTTATGCCCAGAAATGATCAAAAAGCAGAAAATTAGCGTTGAAAACAACGAAGCTCCGCATAGAAACAAATGGACTGTAATTCGAGGCTCGTCGACGACTTCATAGTTGTTGTCTATCTCTCGGTGTCTAAAACACACCGATGCAGATTACACAAAGAGGCTTGAACATGATTGAGTCATTCTGCGTTTTGATCTTGTAACAGTCGTAAAAAACCGACTAAGAAAGAGTCATCAGGCCATGAAAAACATTTTGATGCGACCTTGAGTGGTATTGTTGATACTGGAAATTCTCTTAGAATCTCTCTGATCGCAAGTGCTCTGCAAACTTTGGCCTTGAAATGTTCGATTTCCCGGTCTAAGTTTGGTAGATAGACAAAAGGGGAATTGACTCTAACAACAGGCGGCTAGTTTCATCACTATTTTTTTTTTTGAGAAAGCTAAATTGGCCATCTGTTTCCTCACATCGCCCTCAATGAAGGCCAAAGGTTATCAGAAATACATTGGGCTCATTCCAAATTGTTGAAGCTGCTCAATTGAAAAGGAGACCAAAATGTCTCATCAGTATTCCTCACACTGTAACGTAAACGCTGTCTGTAAATAACTCCTCTAAAAAAACAATTGTATTAGAAAAGGCATCCGATAGTATACAACTGGAGCTCGAATAAACGTAACGTGATTAAAGTCTAGGGACGGAAATTTAAGTGTATGGTTGATTATTCAAGAAAGGGTAAATTAAGAGATACCGAGAAAGTAATTGCATACTAGCGGTTTCCGACAGCCAATATCATCAAATATATTTGAATGTCAATTCTACTCTTTTTCAGCGCCATGTTCAACATGTTTAACAAAAGTAAAAAGCGTAAAAATGTTTTACAACAAGAAAAAAGGCACCTGCAAAGAGATCTTTGTGAATTAGACTAAATGCACTTAATTAATTTTTTTCGGGAATCGGCTTGCCTTCATGAAACATATAAAATTTTCATTTGCTTTTTCTCACCGTTCCTTTGCAACTACGAAGTGCTCCTTCGTGGAAATACTTAAGCGGCTTTTCTTTTTACTTCGACTTATATTATATGACGATTACTCGTGGGAGGTTTTTTCAAAATGTTTGTATGCAAACTATTTTATTGCAGCCGAGTTACCGGAGAATTCCTAGCAATCGGAGGCAGTTGGGTGCCAGAGTTGCGCAACTTCCTGTAATGGTTAATTTACCGCGTTTCAACAATTTTCAAGACTTCCTAATAGTGTAGGAGCATGGTTATCGGCCAATAATCTATCTCAACATTTTTTTACCTGAAAGTTAACGATAAATGTCGAAAGCACGCAATCTACAAATTATTTACCACTTAGTTAAGACAAGACATGGTTATTTCCCTGGGAAGAGTGACATGTTTATATGTGATAAACACTGTGAAAATGATTTCTGACATTTAAGAACGCGAAAGATGTGCCAAAGTCAAACAGAAATATATCTTTGTTTATGTAACTCACTCAAAAGGGGTTTTTACATTTGCATATGAATTAAGCTCCTTACGACGGGTAGTGTTTTAATTACTCTTTGTCTTTCGATAAATGAATTCTTCAAATGCTGTCTTTCAAGATCAAAGGCGAATTATTCTTAATTGAAAGGGTAATCAGTATTTTAAGACGAAAGATTATCTTTTGAGGAAACAAAGAAATTTAATTGCAAGTGTAGTCTTGGTATTTCACATTGAGCTATCGCCACAAGTGCTGTGTTACCAAGCATTCAACGTCTTTTACGGTCAAGTTCGTTTCACTTCATTCCCTCCACAATACTTTCGATTGAAGAATGGGCAGAAATCAGATATGGAATCAAAGATTCCAATATGCGTGCGTGAAAGAGTTGTTTCAATTAGAGATGTTTTGCAAAGATTGGCTGTTGTGCAGTAATTACTGCCCAATAACTGCCAAAAGGATCCGCCGCAGACTGATAAGATAACTCTCCGCCCTATCTTGATAAGAAAATGAAAAAGCTTCTTATGATGTATCGTAACTGTCGTTACAGCATTGGGTGAAGTATTTGAGGCAACCCACAGTGCAGTAAAGTATTATTTTTCTTATAACCCGCTGGAACTTGACAAACACGACCCTTTATTTGCAATACACCATTCTTTGGCTAAGTGATCCAGTTTAAACTCATATTTTGTTTACGAAACAGCGCTAGTGCTAAAAATACTTTGTAAAACCCATGAAGACTGTTAGAGGAAATAAATTAAGCGGAATATTTATCAAATTTGTTTTTAGCTGGTGCGGTCGATGAGTTGAACACTGCATAACAATCTCCAGTTGAATAAAATTCTTTTGGTCCAAAGTTTAATTAATGACCTAGTATCTTACCCCGAGCCAGCGATGCATGAAGCTGAATAAACTTAATCAAGTCCGCTCTTCAGGACTTCTTTGAAATACACAGCACCTTTGCGGCAGCCCCTCTGAGCGGCTGTTACTATCAGCCAGTTTCCTTATTGTACGCGTTCGAATAAATATTTAATTATATTCTGTAAAGGAGAATAAATAAATATGCCTGCTAACTTTGAAAAACGTGAGCACAGTGCATATTCTAGAGATAGTTTGAGTTTGAAAGTTAAAAATACTCCAAGATTTGCCGAAAGTTCAGGGATTTTGAAATTCTGCGCAGCCATTCGAGTTCAATGAAAGATAGTCGTACTCAGTTTAGAACATCAAAATGAAATTAAACTTTAAATGCAAACATGGACATGGACGCAACATCTGGAAAATAGTTAGGCTGAATAGGCAATTTTGTCTTAAATAAACAGAATCAAAATTTTTCCCACTCAAAAACACGAATTGCTGCCGTATGATTTAATCCAATATTACGAATAGTGGCTTTCTGGTAACCCTGTTACAATTCTAAATTCCAAACAAGATTACCCATGAAAAATAAACTTCGTATTAAGGAAAGATTTAGGACTGAGTCTTGGTATAAATAGCTCAAGATTGAGGTTAAATTGGACGCCTTAAAAGTAGAACAAGCTATGCATATTTTTGTTTGTTCAATTTCGATTCCGGTGTCGATGACACAGGTAGTATAGTCAGCAGGCCACCTAAAACTTACTATCACAACTTCGAAGGCTCGCGCTTAAAAAGAATAAACTCGAAGTAAACACTGGTTAAACTTACCTATGACGAAGAAACTTGCCCCGCAGAAAAACAAGAACAACGGTGTCGAGACGCTCCACATCGCCCCTCGTTCTGCTACTTAACTGCTACTGCGTGTTCCAGCAAAGCTTTGATCGACCAAGAAGACAATATGGCGAGTTTTGTTTTGACACGTGCGTCGCGACCCCACAACTTTTAGTGTCTTAGAATTTGGGTCAGTAGCTGTGTATCACTGACGGACAAAGTGTGACTGGTTGCATTTCTCTTTGCGATTTGTTGACAGTGGTAATTAATAGCGGTTTAATTGATGTCGGCCCGCATGCGCGGCACCTGACAGTTGATTTGCCGGATTCAGTATTTTAAAAGTGGTGGGAGGTATTGGAAGTTTAATGCTTCGCAATCTCGAACCTTTTTTCTGTTTTTTTTTTTTCTTAATTATATTCAAGAAATAAATAAACAAATTAAAAAAAAGAAAAAAAAGACGGGTACCACGGAGCTCGAATGTCAAGTTAGATAAGCTGCAAGGGACACCACAGACAATCTCGTATTGCATGCAGGAACGTTAGTATGTAGATAATTTCCACTTTCCGGAGAGGCAAATAGATACCAAGGATTCGCAATTACCTGTGCATGTGAATTTATTTCCACAGTTTCAAGGCATCTAGGTTGTTTAAACGCGATAAAACTGAAAAGCATGCAGTTGGTTGCATACTTGGTCTCTTGTGTTTCAAAGTGTCTAGGCTCTTTATCAGGTTCCCCTGTAAATTTCTTACAGTTAATTTTTATCCCTTAGCCTCTGGAATGCTGAATAATAGATTTCAAGAAATGTTTTGTCATAATCCCGTATGTAGGAAGTCCACTTAGACATGCCCTTTCAATAATTCAAAGCAAAGGATGAGGAAGTGAAAATTGTCATAGATAGTGATAATAGGGGATAAGGTGCTTTGACATGGAATTAATTCTCGGGCAAAAAATAGCATAATACTCACACAAAGCGGTTTACGCATGAGGAGTTTTCCTAACCGGGATGTTAAATTTCCTGTGAATTAACTTAAGCACAAAAGGCAAAGATAAAAAGACTTTTAAGGCACAATAATTACAAGCACAATCTTAATCTGCATTATTATTTAAAAGCAAAAAGGAAAATAAAACTACCGATAGGCATGATTACGTAACAATCTTCGTTACGCAACCCTAATCAGTAATTAAGTACTTCTCTGTGGCAGAGTTTATTGTTTGAAACTGAGGAAGTATTTCGTCTTCTACCAAGAACTCGCCGAGGAAATATATTCTTTATACTTTCTTAGGAATAGAGGGCGCTGGGTGTCAAAGTTATGCAACTTTCTTTCAAGGAAGATTCCACCACCTCTTTAATTATTTATTTTACTCTATTCAATATTATTTATCTATTTTTGTGAAACTGAGCAAGGTCGTCGTCTTTCCAGAGGTCACGATTAAGACTCTTCGAGTGAAATTTTTAAAGTCGATGTCGTGACTGAGCCAGTACAAAACAAAATTAGAAAGACAGAGTCTGAGTAGATGATGGCTGCCATAAAGTTCACTGATCAAATGTTTCCATAGAACTCGAAACAAACCTGGCTAGGAAGTGCGTGTTGTCTTATTTTTCTCGCCAGCACACTGCTAGTGCACAAACGTGATAAGTTCCTAAAATAATGTTATTTCGGCGGCAATTTTATTTCATATGAATTTATTTCATGCAAATTATTTTCAAAAAACCACTCGGAAAAGGCTCCGCTTTAAGCACGTGCCACTTTCCTGATACAATCTTAGGAAAAATTTGTGAACATTATTGAACAATTTTTACACAGGATAAAAGTATTAAAACATGAAAAATAATAATTTTTCAGTATCTTTCAGAGCATAGATGAAGAAATAAGAAATCAGAGAGGAGCAAAGAAAAAAGAAGAAATTTAGCGCAAGGTAATTACCTCCCCAAATTGCTAAGCCTTATTCTTGAACTTTGTAATTCTCGTCCAAAACTTGTAAAGCAAAGCAGTATTTCAAAAATACATCATCAACCAGATATAAGCGAAAATTTAAATATGATTTTTACGCTCGGAAGTAAAGGACCAAGTTTTTAAGAGTGTTATTCTTAATAACTGAGTATTTTGCACAGGACAAAAATTAGAAAGGACTGTATTTAGCCTAAATGCAGATGGAGCCACGGTAGGACATAATCTCTGAATACATCGATATCATATCCTCTGTTTCCATCATTTGTAATTTTTTATATCAAGTTTCATCAGTTCTTTCCCAATTTGTGTATCTTACTGATAAACAAGTAGATAAAGAATATTTCGGTTTTTTTTTTAATTACCGATAGAATGCAGTAGTACTGATAAGGGAGTGACAGCTGTTTGTCAATAACCCTCAGCGAAAGAGATTAGTGTCTTTCTTCCCATGACCTTGAAATGTGATTCAGCAGCGCCACTTTAGGAGAAATCGGATGCTAGTCACCCTCAGGGGTTTAAAAGTTGATTTATGAGGCACTGACAAAGTATGGGAGGACATTTGTGTTTTACTTGTGGTCGATACGAAATTTTAACAACCTAGTTATGTTAACCTGTCAAGTGATGTTATGTCGCTATGAAGTGAACAACTTGAAGAGAACGTACACCACATATACGATGGAAATGAAGACAATCGTTTGGAAACTATTAGGATTTGGAGAATTAAAATTCAAAAGTTAGGCATCAAGCGATTCATCTCCAAGGGATAAGTGTGAGATGGAAACGATGACACAATTCAACTAGCAGTTCTAGTTCTATCATCACCAGGCCACACTCGGTTTACGGAGTAAGATTTTACAAATTACTCCCAGGCTTGAAGAATTTTCTCAATATGCCAAGAGGCTTATCGTGTATATGTAGAATCATAGTATTTTTTTTTCAGTTTTTCTGTGGGTTTACTTGTACGATAAATAATAGATTTTTGACCAATGAGAGCTAACATAATATCTCTGTTATATTTTTATAGTAAGTGCAACCAAATTATTAACACCTGTAGACCGACCACGTCGTGACATGTGCCGCTCAAGCTTACATACATACCTGCTGCTGATAGATGCACTGGTTTACACAGGTTGTTTTGGTTGTTTTTTAATATTGTGGTTTGTAGGGATTAAAAGACTAGGTAAACAGTAATACCACAAAACAGATCGCATTGGCAGAATATCAAAGCAAGCCATGTTTTGGTTTGAAAACACCAAACAATGGGATTTTCGAATCTACTCTACGCCTACGTGTGGTTTATGAGGTATTGTATCGGATTAGGAATATTTTTGCTTTGCGGCGAATTGTTTGTCCCTTCACGGGTAAATTTTGAAAACATTTTTGGTTCTGTGCAGATGAAACTGAATTTATTTAACTTATTTATTAAAATTGAACTTTGTACAGATGAAACTGAATTTAATTAAAAACTTTGTCTTAAAAATTTTGTATAAAACAACAAGTGATTTTACACTTTTAAAGAACAAGAATTCTTCAAATCGTTGTCAGTGTAATTCGATAACCATTTTTTTCCCTTCAGTCCTGACTAAAAGGATATCTACACATTTCCCTCTTTGGTAAATTGGTCAGAAATTCCACCGATGAGAATTGAAATAAAGTCACTCTTCTTTTCGGATCGTAATTTCCTGACACGGTCCATTTAAAGCAACATTCTTAGCTCAAAGAGGTAAATTAAGAAAGATTTGATTTAAGCTGCATTACAATACTGTAAAATACTGTAAAATAAAACTTTGTGAGATTCAAACGCCCAAACTCCGGAAAATCGGGGGAAAGCGGATGAAAAGGGGCTTTAATGGGATCTTCTTAGTAGCTATGTCACGAAAACTTACTATAGATATATAAGGTACGTTTTCTGCGCGACATGTCCATGTTATGCCTGAAGCGATTGGACGTAAAAATAAAATTAGTTATGAGTGTGAAAAGTACCAAAATTGTTACGGCGCACTGTGTCGCTTGAGGATGTACACAAAGAACTTCATTCATGCAATGAATAAAAACGTGAGAGAACAGATGTTACATCAGCTTGTTTATTTTTTTTTCAACCCAAGAGACTAAACTCATTATCTTGTTCTTAAGCTATTTTTAGACTGAATAATGTTTCACAAAAAGAAGAGAAAGATAAGGTTATTTTCGGTAGATCACCCTCATCTCGTGGTTACTGTGATTGACTGCCGTTTCAGTTGTTTTTGAAATTTTTCTCGGTCTTCTATAAATAGTTCCACATGTCTCTGTTTGCTTGTTGTCCTGCTAAGAACATGTTTTGATGCATTTCACGCACATCCTAACAAATGGGAAACTTCTGACTGTTTAAATACACCATTTAAAATTTTCACCTTTTATAAATACAGTAGCGGGATATTTTGGAAGAATTTCCTTAGTTTCCCCATTTTCGCCTTTGGTTATCTTCTTCATTAAAATCTTATTGGTATTTTTTTCTCAAATTTGTTTGTTTTTGTCCAAGAGAATATCAACAGTTAAGAATCTCTTTTTTGTTTTGTTTTTTTGCCTGCCCCGGGCGTCCAACCAGTAAAACGAAAAGGGATAATAGCGGAGAAGTGAATAAACGAGGGAAGTTTGGGTCCAGTCACGTTCTCTACGCGATCAGACCCAAGCTTCCCACGTTTTCTCTCTGCTACTACTGTTGCACGGTTTGCTATTAAACTCCGTTTTACTAACTAAAAGCCTGGAATAGGCTATTTTATTGCCTATTTATGAACAAAATAACTCTTTTCCAAGTGATGTTTTGATTCAACAAAGCATGCCGAAAAAGTGTTACCATATCTGCATATAATAGACTACTTGAAATCAAAGACCTAAATCTAATGGTTAGAAATACTTTAAAAAATTTAAGAATCCCCTAATCTCTCTTGAGAGAGTCCTTGTCTTGCATTTTATGTGCACAGAACGCTGTAATTTTTATATCAAGGATCTCCGTGGTGCTCAGAAATATAAAAAAAAAATCTCAAGAATCCCCTAATCTCTCTTGAGAGAACTCTGGTCCTGCTTTTCATGCAGTAATGCACAGAACGCTGTAAAGTTTAAATCAAAGATCTCCGTGGTGCTTACATCACATCCCTCCTGTGGGAAGCAACCCAAAAAAATATCGGAATTTCCTCGTAGGAGGTTTCCCTTATACGATTCCCCATTAACCCTTTAACTCCCGTGAGTGACCAAGATATAATTCCTCCTTACAACATCAACACAGAATCAAGCAGACGAGTGAGGAAAATAAATCAGAAAACTCAATTAGGGGACTACAAGTTGATCTAATACCAATTCTCCTAATTGAAATCGTAAGTATTTTAAGGCAGACAGTAGAGAGAATTCCTAATGAGAGTTGAGTATTTTTTGCTGCCCTGATTATGTGCACTTATATTTGATTCTACAAAGTTTAGACTGTGGCTGACTGTGAGATGAATCTTATTGAATTCTTGAGTTATTTCAGTGGCCCTAGTGACATTTTGACAGTTGGGATTAATTAACAGCCCACGAAATACCCACACATAAGACGTGTGGCCCTCTGCCTCGACAAAAGGACGAAACATGCCGAAAAAAGAAAAGGAACAAGACTTGGGCTCGGTGAGCTCGGGAAAAAAATCTCGATTTCCTTACTACAAACGATTCTTCTTGATTTTGCTTTGGCTATTTATCGAAATCGGGCCAGCTCTCCGAAAAGTCATCATGAAGACTACTTTCGTATTGCATGAGGGCGTCTTCAGTTTTTCCTAAACAGTCCCCTTCTTTCCCACGCGTAAAGTTTTGTGAAACGCACCAAAATAAACCCGTAAAATGAATACAATGTCTCATGCTTAAATCAAATTTCACAGGCAACGCTTGAGTTGCTCGTGGTGAGGTTAGAAAATGAGAACGATGCTTACCTCCTTGGCTTTTTCCTCTTGCGCTGGATGTATGTAGCAAGACATTCGTCGCCCTTTCAGAGATCACACAATTCGCCAATATTTTTCAGCCGCTAGAATACAGAAGTAAAGCCGCATTTTGGACTTCCTTTTCTGCTGTTTTCGTGTAGATATTTGCATAAAAAAAGCCCTGGTGTAAGAAAAATTTGTTCAAGCTAACTTTATGTGGCAGAAAAACATTTGTCATCATCGGATTCCGTCATCATCGTCAGTTGAAGGGTAGGCTGATGGCAACAGATAAACTGGTCAAAATGCATAATAGCGGAGTTGTGAAATGAAAGAATGTATTTGCTTCATATTCCTGAAACAAACAGCGCTAATTACACGGTGAATATTTTATCATGCTGCATTGTTACTGTGCTTGAGAGCTCAGATCAAATCATGTTTTTTTAATTTCTTGAGAAGCTTGAGTCAGTCAGTCAGTCAGTCAGTCAGTCAGTCAGTCAGTCAGTCAGTCAGTTCTTATGAGTTTCGTAGCGTCGGTTAACTGTGATGTCGAATGTCATTCTGATTTTTGTAAGACATCATATATTCGGCGTTTACACCTAATACTTTCAAATATGCTATAGACGACAATGCTAATTACAAATAAACAGCCCCTTTATTTTATTTTATAGTCTGATGTAGTTACATAAGCATGAAGTAACGGGTAGTGCCCTGAAAAGTTATTAGGTCTCGTAATTTATCAAATAATATTACAATACAGCGACGCAAGCTCGGCTCCGTGAGGTCGAATCACTAAAAGAAATTGAAACATTAAAGCTAATCTCATCTTCTAAAAAGGTTTACATACTTACATGATACGATTGATTAAAAAAAATGGAACTGTATCTCATCCATGATTGCGTTGCATTCTCTCGAATCGTTTGCCACTTTCTTGTCCTTCTCATTTGGAAATTCTTTCAACGACGTGTCTTAAGAATTTTTTTCTCTGACAGTTCACAAATCGCCACTTTGGAGGCGACTTGTCTCTCACGCCTGGACCATAGTCTAAAGTAATGCCACTTCCAGCTATCAATCAAACTGTTATTCTACATTAGTATTAAATGGCGTGAGACCTCTGACAATGAAAACACTTCGGAAAGGGAAGGATCTTGATTATACCAACTTTAAAAGTTTAATGTAGTTCTATAATCAGAAATGAGAATAGAAATGCTTCATATATGATGATATAAGTAATCGAAGTGTCCAATATCCTGCCCTTTGGAACATACATACATACATATACTTTATTTATTTATTCTAGAGGTAAACTATATATACAGATTAAAAACTAAGAAAAAAAAAGGTACTTCTAGAAAAGGAAGTTTGGAGGTTAACCCTATGTAAAAACTTCCTTAAAATAAAATAAATAAGTAAACAAAATTAGAATAAAAATCAAAATCTATACAACTAAATATTGAGATACAATTTAAGTTTAGATTTAAAATGCTGAAACATGACATATGAGTCTTGATTCCAGTGTTCTACAAACCTTTATTACCATCCTGGATCATTATACCGAAAAAATGTACCTACTTTTACCTGAAATCCTTGAGGTTTTCCCTCTACCTCATAGCAATAGCTGGCAATTGAGAACGATCGCAGGTCTAGAACTAGAAAAATTTTGCATTTGCACGAAAGCAAGCATTTCTGAATTACATCTTCAGCGTAATTACCTTTGATTACAACTACTATTTAGCTTGATATGAGCCATTGCCGAGGTATTTCCTCTTGCCTATGATTCACATCGAACTGAGAGACAACCTGCGTTTAGAGTAAATTATAGTGTTGACTAGATTACGTATAGAGGAAACGACACTCGAAAAAGGCCAGCAAACGGCTCTCTACACGCCACAAACCCTTAGGACGATGCAAAAGGCGCTGAACACCGGTTGCAACTGGTTGGCGTAGGCTGGCTAGATGAGATCTATTCGTAAAGATCTCAGTGATTTGTCAGAAATATTCGCAAGATGGAATTATTGGCCCTATGTGAAAATCAGGGAAAACTATTCACATTAAGGCCAATTCAAATGTAATTGTTTAGCCTGGCTGATCAATTCTTACATGTGGTGAACGCCCTCATTCTCTTTGTCACGTCATATCAGTTGTTAGAGAGACAAAAAACGTCTGAAATTATATGCATTAATGATTTTTTTGGCGGGAAAGAGGGTTTAAATACGTTTGAATACGTCTGACTTGTATTAGCAATAAGAGTTGATTATACCAAATATGGAAATCCAGGCAAGTAAACCCAAAGAAGAAAAACTCGGTACATGCATAGAGCCTGAGAGTGCTCCCAAATATACTGACATGCTTGGATCAAATACAGGTATTTCTTTGTCTGACTTCGTGTTTGGCTTTGTTGTTGTCAAAGGCAGCGTTTGAGTGTTGTTAGCCGTCGCGGTACTTTTCATCGGTGGAGCAGTGGAGTTAGTGGCGTTGATAGAATTGTTCCCAGCAGTTGAAATGAAGGTTATTGAGGCAGTGGAGTTAGTGGCGATGATAGAATTGTTCTCAGCAGTTGAAATGAAGGTTGTACTTGTTGTTGACTTCCCACTGCTCACTGGTTTTACTAAGGGGATTTTTAGAATAAGAGGGTTATAACTGAGTTATCGAAGCTAATATAAATGAAAAACATGAGTAGAAGGATAACAAAAAAGGGTAAAGGTCTTTAAACGAGACATCATAGAAATAAGGGGTATCTAAATCACAAAGACGTACGTTAATAAGCAATAACCTTTGATCAAGGACAGAGAACAACGAAAATGTATGAAGGGGAGTGAGTCATGTTGGCCCTATGCCTACAATAAATGATGCGACTGCACAATGACGCTGAAAATATCATTTTCTTATCAAAAAACGAAGAGCTAAGGCTCCCTATCTCCCGCTCTAGGTCCACCCATGGCAATGACAAAGGTGAAATTTGCTTACCACAAGCAAACAAGACGTTGAGATAAGCAGATGAACTCCTTTGTTTAGAGACGTTCACCCCTTTGCAAGGATCGCCAAATATCTTGTCCAATGCAGTGATCCAACAGTTTTTCTTGTTGTCACATGCGGTCTTCAATATGTTAGTCACCTCTACTAGATTACACCGCTGACTTGACACTTCTCCTTTGGTACATATACTAGCCGATGATTCACCAAAGTCAGCAGCCTCAATCCGAAGAACTTTAGATGAGCAGTTCAAGTGCATGACGTCATTTTCGCAGACGTACTTTGAGCGGACAATTCTTCGGTCTATTTCTACAAGTTAGATTTCAATGAATTGGTACTAAACATCTTAAGGGTGAAGGACGAGTTTACTGATTTTTCATGCAATGAAGACTTCTCCTTATTTAGTACTTAAAACTCGGCCATTATAATTATCAAAGGTTTAAGTTTCCAAAGAAACTGTGGTGCTGCGTGAATGGGAGAGAATAAAAAGGTAATTTAGTATTATCAACTGAGTTGTTAACGTAAGTTAGCCACCGTAAAGAGTTTCAGATCGGACGTTTCGAGCGTTAGCCCTTCGTCAGAGCTTAATATCATTATCATTAATAAGCATTCCTACAAACTGCTCTGTTTATTGCTTCATTTACTCATTCATTTACAGCTTTCCACTTGTCATTTTGTATGATTATTTGAATGTTACATGCAACTCCCTATATAAAGCAATGACCTTTAATATATATAAAAAAAATCGACAAAAGGCAATTTCCTTTCATGAGAAAGTTAACAAAATTTTTGTCTTTTAAACAATTGGTTTTTTTTAGTCCTTTTCACAACACACGAAACTATACTTGTCATGGAGACAAAAGTACTTCGCTAATTCTGTACTTCAGTTGATACAAAATATTTTAGATGGTTCAGCCATACAACTCTACTGAGTTTCCCATGACATGAGACTTGTGGGGAGACTGTCACAAGAGAAAATCTTAACGAAACAGAATTTCCGTTTCCCTGTTCAGTTTCCTTGATAATTTCCAGAATCGTTTGCACAATCTAAACTAGCCAGCTGTAAGCTTTTTTTAATTGGAAATGTCTGTGTTCAATTTCTGGTTGGTCCTTTTTTCAAACGAAGGAAATTTTCATAAAAAAATTTTATTTTTTTCAATCTATGCTTTTCGAGGGAAAGCTTGTCAAGAAATATTTGCCTTGCGTGCACAGCGTCTTCTTTTTCAGTAAAAATATATGACACTTCCAAAATACGTCTTTGAATTTGGCGTCCACCGAGGGATCTGGCGCGTTCGAGCTTTTCGAACAAGGTGTTAAATCTCTTTTGCGGTTTATACAGATAATTCACTGTTAAATACTTGTTTTCCTGTCAATAACTTTTTCGTTCATTGCAAGGTGGGAAATATGGTTTCATTGAAAATTTTAGAAAACCTATTCAAAAAATATATTCATTCATAGATACAAAAAATCTAGGATTAGTTTGAGAATAATCTTGGTTTAAAGGAAAATTCCTGTAAACATTAAAAATTGAAAGCAATTAACTACTGTTTTCATTTCGTTTGGTAGAAGTTCTCTCACAAATTTACATTCAAATTTTTAAAGAGAACCTCAAAAGGATTAACTTTGTTTATCTCTTTGAAGCATATAAACTAAAGGAACTGGCTTCATATCTTTCCTTTTCTCCGATCCGTTTCGAAAAAAATTGTCAGATGACATTCGAAGTCTGTTACGAACGCGTGCACACCAAAGAGACAAGCGATACAAACATACAAATATCAAAGTTCTTCTTTTCATTTAAATCTTGCCTGAAATGTTTTGTTGGGTGATTAGAAGGTAGATAAGTAATATTAAAATAGAACCGTAAGGATTATGTAAATATCATGATTAGAATTTATCTAACGTTTACAAATGAAAAAGCCAATTATCTTTCGAACAGGGTTGAATCTCATGGAATTTTCCTCTTTTCATCGGTTTTTTGAAGGAAGTATTTTTCATTTGTTAGAATTTCAGCTTTGTTTTCCGGAATAGACTGATTGATCACAACTCAAAACAATAAGCTGCAAATTCGAAGGAATGAACCATACATTTTCGGCCATAAACTTGGTGTAAATATTTATATTTAGTTATCTATATAAGTCACTTTTTCTCTACACAAAATATCTAGAAGCATCATAGATAAGGTACAATTTTCAGCCTCAAAACACGATGTTATCGTCCTAAACAGAAAGTTTCCTAGTAGTCTTAAAACTTCCTTTTTATTTGTTTCGATCTATAGCACTACAAAGGTCTTACCTGCTCTTACTTCGGTAAAGCCGGTAACAGTGGAAGCTAAGGATATCAGGAAAATCCAGCACCGCCCAGCCGACATATTTGAAAGTAAGTGATTATGAACGACTGCCTTTACGAATTCGATGCGTTACACTCCTGTTAACAACTTAAGCTCCAGTGAACCGAGGTTGATAGGAACGATACGACCTGAAGTACGAATGGACGGTAATAACAAAAATGTTACGTTTTTCTGGTCGCTAAATCGTCCAATTAATATCTTATGAATTATATATCAAAATCGGGGCACCCTCGCATGTGTCAACAATTAAACTGGTTTTTGCGTAATCAAAGTTTCGCGTTGTCTCGAACATAAACGGCAGCTTCGATTCACCGAGAATAACTAAAATTCATAACAACTTCAAATTTCTGCGACACTCACCTTAGGTGCGAGCTCGTCATTTCCAGGACATCTGTGAAAATATGCTAACGGAATTTTAAATCAAACAAAATAACTAAATTAAATTGTCTTTCCTTTCTGGCTCATTTATTTCCAAAGCAGCGAGTTGTCTACCTTTTTAACATTATTTATTTACTAAAACATCCTTAAACAGGACTTCAGCCCAGCTTTACAGGTAAGATGTAAAATTTTTTGGGACATCAAATTTCATTTACTATAGGTTTCAATCAATAATGATCTGCCATAATTGTTCATTCGATTATCACGAAAAAACACGCACAATCTCGGCCAGGAGCATTTAAAAGTTTTTTGTTTACGAAATTTATTGACATTAACAGTGTTGAGATGTTGCGAGCTAATGCGTATTTGTTGTTATAAGTAGAGAAGTAGGCGTTAATTTAACGATGAAAACATTGACTTTCTCCGTAGAGTGCTTTTTGATACAGCAGGTTAACTCACGAAACTACTCATTTATGCGCGGCAAGTCTAAGGGTCAGCCAATGGCCTAAAAGCTTGAATAAATTTTGTGAATCTCCTTAACTGGATTTAACTTTTACCCGTGGAGACCTGCCAAGATGCTGTTTCCTTCGGTTCGTTGAGGTGCTCGTTTCGAGCTTAGTCCATCTTTAAGCAAGTCACCATAATGATTCTACAACTAAATAAAAAGACATTGAACAGTGCTTTATGGTAATTGTCTAGACTGACTCTTCTTTTGGAACTTGCTCATCATGCTATTTACATTGGTATCCGTTTTTAGCTCAATCAAGCTTTAGACCGGCCAATTGAAAATCAGCACTCCACGATTAAGGATGAAACCATCAAACAGCTCATTAAGTAAATGGGCTGTTTTGATATCTTAGTTGTAGAACTTGCAGATCATTCGATCATGATTAGTGCGATACGTACGACTTGAACAACTCTCGTCGACAAACACGTTTAGGTACAAGAGATTTCTTAAGGACTTATCCTCAGATTTTTTGTGACCAAGACTTGGAGAAGGCTTGGATTACTAAATATCATGAATTAACGATACAATTAGCTACATAAGAAAAAAAGCCACGCATTTAAAAGGGTTTGTCTGCTGCCTTAATTGACACGCAAACATTTGGGAAAGGGCTGTATTTTATAACAAAAATCTTCTTGTCCAAATTTCGTTTTTCTTGATGAGTACTCCAAAGCTCACTCGAAGTATATTTCCTATTTTCTTGTTTTGCTGTTATGAATGGCGTAGCTTGTCACTCGCTTCATATTTCAGTCATTCATCGCGTTCCACTTGTCACTTTATTTATCAATTATCTTGTTAGTTGTAACTCCCTGAGAAATCATTTTTCGAGGCAAATGAAATTTTAAAAAAATGTCCCCTCTCGTCACTTAGCAATTACTATGATACAAGTACAATATGGCTCTGAATCATCATGGTTCGCGAGTCACAAAATGGACAGTTCAATATTTACAAAGCTAGGAATTTTTAAGGAACTCGATGAAGGACTCATGAACATAAGAGAAAGCAATCGTAGATTATCTTTGACGCAAGAGAAATGACATCAGAGTCTCATTCGAAATTTTGCTAAGATTGTAAGTCAAGACTTAACTATAATTTTCAACAAAACTGTCCTTTAGAACACGCTGTATTACTCTTGAAAGTAGTATTTTGATAGCGATATATGATGCTTACAAGGCTTGGGACGAACTCTTTCATTTTGGGAGCTATTGTGCTGACTACCATTGTGTATCCACTAGTGTAGAACGCCCACTCCCGCACGTCCTTGACGTTGAACCAACGACAGCGAGAAGTTAGCAGAGTCTGCTCGAAAGCCGATGGGTGGTCTTGTTAGTGTGCTTTCGTTATAAGGGGAATGTTTTTTTCTGAAAACTGAAAAAAAGATACTGATTTCGACTTTTTTCAAATTTTTCCTTTTATAATGGTAATATTGCGGCTTAAACAAGACGAGAGAGCATTTTCGAAAGGGCTTTACGCAGGAAAGTGATGAACAAGAATGAGCACGAAAATTAACGGACTGTGGGATTTGTCTCCCTAAAGACAGAATTGTACATGTTGTCTCTCGTTGCCTCTCTCTTCCACAACATTTCTCCTACCGATCGCGGTAATTGGTTCCTGCTTTAAATTGGTTGTGATTAGCGGACGAAAAGTAAAATAGGGAATGACTGCATAAGCTTTTCGGTCGAAAATTGAATGGCTTAAGCAGATCTGTACTTTTGCAGTCGATTTTAAACGGTATTTTTCGGTTGCGGGAAAAGACTCCGTGTTGTCTTTGCATCCTAAATTCTGGGAAACCATTATTTTTCAACCATCATTTGATTTCTAGATACAAAAATTTATACACCCTAGAAATTAAACTGGTGCTGCCTTCTTAACCAGTCAGACACAAGATTAAAATTGATTGTTACTTCGATCATACGCGCGTTCCCTCGCTTGTGACAGTTAACCTATATTAAATATCGATCCCCCTTTAATTAGCTATTTTTGTCACTTTAATGGGAGGATAGAGGTTAAACCACTGACGCGACAAAAGGGTTTGAAGATGAGTACAAAAAATATTCAATTAATTAACCAAATTCTCTCAGAGCTTTTTGAAAAATGAACAAAGAAAATAATAAATCATAAATTCTATCGACTTTCAACAATATTGTTTCCCACGACTTGCGAGTGGGTAGTTGTTGTCTTTTTCGAAAGGGAAGGAGACGGAGAGAGGGAAGGTTAATGGTTGGAGGGGTCAGTTAGAAACTTTCCTCGTATTCCGATTCTTGCTGAACCCAGAGTGTGAGCTGAAAAGGGAAGTTCCTAAATGCAGGATATTTATACCGAAAATTTGCATAGACTATATCCACTCTCAATCTGCAGTTAAATAAATTTCTTAAAAACCGTCAGTTAGAATTTCCTTCGGCCGAGATAGAGTAAGTTTTGATCTCTGAATCTAGTGCAACATCTCTCATGAAATTATAGACTTAACCTTAGACTCTCCAATCTCAGAAACTAAGAGACTCACATAATTTTTTATACTTATAGGCGTTTGAAGTTCATTGTGGTTAGTATGAAAACAAGGCACGTTGATAACAGGATTCCGCTTATAGCCTTGGGAGCTACAAGATTGGATCCATGAATTCAGGCGGTGGTAGCATCCTGTAGAAAAAAAACATCTTTTGATTCCTATAGCTTTCAGCTCGCTTCGATTTCTAACGTCGGTGGAAATGATACATTAACCTCTATTTGGCTGTTAAATATTTAATCGCAACGGCTGAACTCGGCTGAACATACATTTGCATTTTTATTACACCATTAAGATAGCATTGACAAATGATCATGCGATTTAAGATTCAAATTCTACATCGTATTCTTGAGCCGAAAGTGCAATTTACCCGTAATATAATTAATACGTTTATTTATCTTAAACTGGTTGTTTCACTGTTCTCGTGAGTTGATGGCCAGCACTTAGTATATTAACTTAAGTTAAGAGTAATTTCCCTGGTGTTCTCGAGGCTAATCGATCAGTCCGTGGTTGTATAAAATACTTTTGACTGTATTTCACAAGAAGAATTCTTTATCTGTGCAAACAACAATTTAAGTTGACTTTTTAGCCATGTTAGGGTGGTAGCTGGAAAGCAAATGTGGAGTACTTCAGTCTTTTAGAAGCACCGAAAAGTGAATTGTTGTTTTGAATTACACATTTTTCAACGTGAGCTTTTGTTGTTGTTGTTGTTGTTGTTGTTTAGTCTCTTAGCCTCGTAAAGGTACTTGTCAATATTTCACGAGCCACTTGGTGTGCATGCTCTTATTGGATATGTTCTGCTCAATATATTTTAAGCGGAGATTTGTAATATCTCTATAATATCTATAACTGAGAGAAGCTGAACTCACTTAACACATTTAACAATAGGATCCACCCAAATCATCTTGCTCGCCTATTTTAGTCAAAGGTAAGAAATTTGAGTAAAGGAGGCAGGTTGGATGACCATCCAGTATTGTTTCAACTTCAGTATTTTTCTAAAAAATCTTCTAAAACTTTTAAATAAAGAGGTAGTTCCCAAACTCTAATTAATTTATTAGGCCTCTTAACAATAGAAAATGTTTATCGACTTTCTGTGGAAAAATTCTTGCATTTAAGCCCTTTTAACAAAGCATTTGACATGTTCCGACATGCTAGTAATATTCATGGCTGCCACACAAGCTAGGCAGCCAGACAGAATCTTTACCAGCCTGAAGTGCGAACTAATGTGGGTAAACAATACATTTCTTTCATGGCAATCGGTATTTGGAATGACCTTCCACCCTCTTCAAAAACGCAAGTGTAATTTAATTTCCAAGGCAAGTGAAACATTATCTGCTGTCAGAACAAGAGGAAATTAAGCCGCTTCCTTTAAAATTATTACAGTTCAACTGACTTTTCTCCTAACTGTTTCTTTTATTTTATCTTTTAATTCTTCTTTATTGTTGTTGATGTTGCTGTTTTATTTACTTTTCCCTTCTTTTCTTGTCTCACTCTCTGCCGCCTGAAACTTAAAATGTACGGGGGAGCTAACAAGAAAACCTCTGTTTCATTCAACTCCCTAATTCACAAAGTAACAAAACTATCTAGATACTAATAAAAACCTTTTTAATCAGTCAACCATAATGTAAAATAAAAACAAATATTATAATTTTATTCAATTGACTCATGCGAAAAGAGCGTTGTCTTGTCGTGTCTTTCCGAACGAATCATTTATTCCGTTTCCAACTTGCGACCGACATAATCAATATTTTTATTTCTATTTCTTTCTGGAGTAATTATTCATTAATTTATCAATTGATATCAAAGGATGGATGAAGGCTGATTTTTTCTTTTGACCATCCTGCAATATAGCAATATTTTCGTTAACTGACATGTGGCTAAAAATGCTGAGCCACGCCTTACTACTCCTATCGACATGTAAACCAAAAGACCTTTGAAAGACCCAGGAGTGCAATTGAATTTTAAAGGACAATAAAATCACTTAAAACTGCATGACACTTTTTCTCTTGGAAATTCCTATTGTTTTAAAAATCTGTAACCTTTTGTTCAGAGATGGATAACGCTATCCACTGGATGAATCTCTATCCAATAGATAGTGCAGTATGTTTGTTGGGTCAGTATCCACTGGATTGTAATTTATCCGTTGGATTGCGTTATCTACCCTCTCAACAACTGGGCTCTGGAGTTTAAGCGATTACGACCACGGCTCAAGAAATGATGTCTGTCAGAAGGTAATATTCAACCTTTTCTTAAGATCAGAATTATCTTGGATTGATTAATTATATATTAGAAATAAGTAATACACGATACACGAAGAATTGTTTTTAACGTAGTCACCAAACAGACAATAAAGGGGCGCCAAATGTTTGGTTGACTTAATATCCCCATTTGTTGGTCGTCAGGCTTGTTCGTGTTTAATTGTCGTTTGCTTAGAGTTCCAAGTGTAGAATTCAGCGGTTGCTTGGCGACTTGATAATTACAGAGGTTGAAAATGAAAATTTACAACAAACAGCAAGGCTGTCATTACATGAGAGATCTGATTGCCGTATCCAGTATTATATATGACAAAGCCATAACCAGCGGAGTCGTCTTCTTCATCATTGTCGTCAGGATACTTCGGGCTCATCTCAGTCGTCGTGGACTGGGTTGCGTAGTTAAAGGGTGCAGAGGGTGAGGAAGGTTTTGTCAATACCGTTGTAGACTTGTTTTCGGCGAACGCGGTAGGGGGTACGGTCGTAGGTGGTGTAGGTGATACTTTCTCTACTAAAAATTTCAAGTGAAAAAGAAATGCTACATCTCTGACCCTTCACCGGCTCATCATAATTCTGTAATGCCAGAATTTCTTCCATAATCTCAAAGAACAGATCAAATAGACGCAAGATAGGATGTAAAGCAAATCATGATATTTTGGAGATTTATCATGGAAATTTATTACTTACCGCAGCCATACATGACATTCAGATCCTTATGGACCGACATGCCCGGACACTTGTCTCCCATGGTACTCGTATCTACTGTGAAATTACACTTTGTGCGTCCTTCACAACGCCCTTTTACAAAATCTTCCCTATCATCTGGGGCGCAATATTCAGCAGTGTTGACATAATCCATCCTTCTCCCTATGCAAATTTTGTTTTTATCTTTTTTCTCTCGCCCGTATCTTGCCTGGATGATATTAAGCACCTCTGAGGCCGTGCAACTTAAATACATCGAGTCGCCCTGGCAGATGTATTTAATTTTGATGTCCTTACGTGGATCCGTATCATTAACTATGGGCAGTCCTAAACAGAGATGAATTAGAACTTTAAAAAAAATAAAAAGCCCCCTGAGCAAGAAAAATTTCAAAGAAATGAATAAGTGAATACATACATGAACGAATAATAAATATATGGACGAGTGAATGATTGAGTGCTTGAGCGAGTGACCAAATGAATTAATGAAGCCACAAATGGATGGATACTTTCCTTACAAAGCCTTGGCCTTACATTACATACGTTTACGCATAGATTTGCAATTATTTAAAATATTATTCAGGAACGCCACCATTTTGATTTTTTCTTAATCTATTAAAAGCAAAAGTAAGATTTACAAGTAATGTCTACGGTTCTAACTTAAACTGTCTCACCCTTAAAAACTGATCGGTGTTTTATTGTGATAATTCATTACTTACCACACCTATACATGACTTTCAGATACTTAAGGGTCAACATGCCGGGACAATTGTCTCCCATTGTACTCGTATCTACTGTGACATTGCACGCCGTTTTTCCTTCGCAACGCTCACTTGTCAAATTTTTTTTATCATCAAGAGCACAATATTCAGATTTCCTTGTGCAATTGTCACTTTTCGTTTGACGGTAAGTTGCACAATAGATCTTCAGCACCTTTGGGGCCGGGCAATGTAGGTTCATCGTGTCATCCTGGCAACTGCGTTTGGTTTTGAAGGCGCTCACTTGATACAGCGCACCTAAAAGGGGATAAATTATAACGTTAACAAAACAAAGCTCACTGAGCGAATTATATTTCAAGGAAACAGATAAATGAATGCATGCATGAATAAATAATAGCTGTAAAGACAAGTGAACGAATAAATGAAAAAAAAAATGAAAGAATGAATGGATAGATGAGTGAAATAGGTGAGTGCTTGCGCGAGTGAGTAAGCGAATTAATTAGTGAATGAGTGACTGGTAAATGAAGCCACGAATGGATGGATACTTTCGTTTCAACACCTGGGCTTTATATTGCATATATTAAAAGGAAAAGAAATGAGAAAAAAAACGTGAAACACTTTCATGTTGATTCTTGCTGTGTTCAGCAAGAAGTTTAAATAATTTTTCTACTTGTTATACTTTGTGCTGTCTCACCCCAAACAATTGATTAAATTTTCATCGTAGTGACCTAGAATTGATCCGCATAAAATGTTGTCACAGCATCGCAAAAGGAGGTAATAATAACAGTTTTTCATTCCCTGAGTTTGGGTTTATTAAGGTTCAGCAGTTTTGGCCCATTCAAAAGGGGTTTAATGAATTAAAAATGAGAATTTAAAAGCGGTTTACCACTCTCCAACTAAAAGGGGAAACAACCATCTTAGTATCAATAATTGTTTTTAATAGAGTCGATGATTTCTATTTGCGGTTTCTCTTCTTAGTCAAAACATCATGATTATCTTAACTTCAACTTCAGGGGAAAAAGGCATTCTAGAAAGAACTACATACGAAAAGTCAAGGTAAATTAAAATTCGTCTTTAATAGGATTGATAAGGTTTATTTTATTTTTTTAAAGTACATTGTTAATTATTTGCTTGAAATATTCAAATTTTAGTAATATTTCAAAAAGCAAAACAGTAATAAAAAAACCGTTTATGTTGACAGTTACACAAATTGACTGCGGGAAGTGAGAGAATTTCTAGGATTTGGCTGAACTCGACTTTGCTTCATAATGGCGAAACAACTGAAGACGAACTGTATCTCCTATATATTTCTGTAGAAAATATGATTTTCACCATAAGGTGTCAAAAGGAACCTTCAACAGATAAGAATTGTATCAGGGCTTCTATCATCGTTTTGAAAAAATAGCCAATAGCCTGTTTTAACAGCAAGATAACAAAAAAGTCTGTAATGGCATTTCGCCTCTTTAAGAGGAATATCCTAAATTCATTAAACGAACCTTAATGATGAAATGGTTTGTCTAAAAAACTTATTTTTTCAAGTAGACTTATGCATGAATAAAATTTCAAAGAGAATCTTAAATTAAAGAATGGAACCAGCTTTCCTTTTCCCGAGTTTACAAACGCTGAACCCTTTCTTCAAACTTAGGCCCGTAAATAGAAAATTAATTAAATTTTTGGAAAGGTGTCGAGAAATTGTCGTTGTTACAAATACCAAACTGTCTAAGAATTTAAATCAAACAAAATCCATTTGTTTGTAATTCCGGTATCTCGCTAAGAGTCAGAAGCATCTAAGATATACCTTAGGCTACTCACCATTATTGAGAAACGACAATTCCTCGAGGGAAGCAAGCAAAAGGAATCCTTGAAGCAGAAGATAATAATTGTGATACATCGCTCCTAGTGCGAGTAAATTGACCGTACCACTTAATTTCCTCTGGCGAGTACCGCTGGTGAAATTCTCTTTTAAGTACTGTCGCAACAGGGTCTTGGCTAAAATGCTCTATCTCGTTGAAATCGCCTTAATGAAAAGTGTGCGTCGATTTGCACCTCTCCTCCAATGATTTTTCCCCACCTTTAGTGATAAACACTCATTTGGGACACTGCGTGTGTTTATCAATAATAAATAGCAATCAAATATGGGGTGCAATTTTTTTTAAAAACTTGTTCTTTAAACGAATTTACTGTTGACATCGAACATTTGTTCGCGGTCATTTCAATCTTTTATTGTCTCGTCTCCCACAACCAGCGGCTTCTTAATCACTCTCTGAATCACCCTCAAAATTTTCACCAAAACACTTGCACCTTATACATTTGTTAACGATGTTAAGATTATGTATTTTTGAGATTATATCATACATTTGAGGAAAGCTTTCACAGCTTTACCTCAATAAGTGTTTTTTTTTTTTTTAATTTAGATCAAGATTAAGTGCATTTCGGAAAATATTTTCTTCTTAAGCTAAGCTGCGTCTTAGTTATCACTATGAGTTTTAACACTAAAAGTTTCAGTGTGATTAATGAAATCTTATCAACCGCTTTTGAATGGTAGTCTTAAAAGAGAAATGAGTAAGTATATGTGAAACTTGCGAGAATTCTGAAGAATATCCTGTTAAAATTTTAATTTTGAAAAGTTCAAATTTTAATTACGTCCAGAACGTATACCCGTGCGACGCATAATAGAGAGAATTTCCCACACATAGCGAATATCTCGATTAGTGTTATCTATAATTTGTTTTGCGGTTCTTCGTGGAAAATGTCCATAAATGTATCGCGCACATGAAACGTCTTCTTTTTCAACTACTTCAGTTATTTTAAGTTACCGATGATTCTTTGAGTGACCGTCTTTTTCTCGCAATTTTGGAGAATTCGATTTAATAGAGAACAATAACGAAAATTATAAAAACTGGGGAAAAGCAATATGATCCGGATCCTCATAAAAGATGACTCGGATCATGGTACATTGGCAAAATCAATGAATTAAACACAAAAAAAAACGATTCATCGGTTCCGAAATTTGATGCACGATGATCCCTGCGATCTTGGACCACTGATCCTAATCTCTCTCTTCCAAAGAGAAGGCATCCCCAAGATCTGTAGGTGACTGATTACATTCAATCAAGAGTAATTAATAAATAGACAATTTCAGACGGTCTACCTTCACATCATGTGGACATTATAGGTAAGTTTACACAAAGAAAGCATTCGCATAGCCCTGAAGCTCACCTTCCGCAGCTTACTAGGAGCATTGGTGTTCCTCCATTGCAGTTTACCAAGTCCGGAAATTTTTCAGGTTTCCCTAATAATCGGCTGTTACTTACTAATAATCTTTGATGGAAAAGGCGCCAGAAAATAAAGTGTTCAACACTCGAAGAGAAATTCCAAATCTTCAAGCAACCATCTATTAAATTGTTTATCATATAAACACAATAGCCCGTCACTGACAAGAAAAGTCGACTTTATCAACGAAAGAAAATAAAAGGATCGACAATCCCCGAATAAAAATTGTAAAATGCGTTGGTGCTAATGCTCAAGATAAAAGATAAAAAAAATTCGTTGAATCACTACAAAAATAAGAAGCGTAAGTAAGAGCGTAATTTTCAAAATACAAAATTCTCAGTTATTGACTTTGTCCTTACGGACAGAAGAAATCTGGCAAATCTTGAAGTTGTTGATTTTCGTTCTCAGCCGCGAGAAATGCCATTACCAAGGCCACTGAATACGTATTTTTCCGTTTTTGCTTTCGAATTTTAGTTTTCTTCCCCTTCTAGGAAACTTTGAACGTCGCTGTCTGTAAACCGTACGGATATTTCGGCCATAATCCGAGAAAATTCAGACAAATAACCATGGATTGAGAGGTGAAGGCTTTGCTGTTCATTCATCAACCTGACTGAGTGGCGCGAAAGGCGAGTGACGAGTCAGCAGCTGATTGGCGATATCAAACACACGTGTAAAAATATCGTATTTTTCAGGTGTGTTGTTCCGGCTCTTCTCAGGGCTGGGAATCCTTGTAGAACACCATAGTTTATATGGTAAACGTAATTTTAGATCGAGCTACTGTTGAGTTTATTTGATGTAGAGAAATTTTCCGTTTTCCCGAGTTGGCTACGAGACACATATCCTGATAACAGTCTAACGTTTCGACTCTTTCAACATGACACATGGTAGATGGAAAAAAATTATGGTTATGTGTTTTTTTTACGGCAAATGATTTAAAATTTGTCAATTTTTTATGCCTAACGGCTGCATTTTTTCCCGCCGTTTTACGGCTAATGGCTAACATTAGATAACAAGTTGTGTAGCCGTCATTATCACTGAAATAGGTCCGTGTCTTCCACACATTGATTTTTTATTTCGGCATTTCTTTTGCTTTTAGTTTTACCACAGGCAACTACCACTCTTCTTAAAACTTTTAGGGTTTTCCACAATCATCAAGTAGAAAGCACTTCCCCATTTCTTTGTGCTTGTTCGAGTGACCTGCTCCTGAGATGCATCTGAGCACGCCCGAAGCCATTTTGTTCACTTTAAATGGTTGTGGTGCACTATCCACTTATACCAGCGCTACTTCTCGATTACTTCGTTTTTCTTCCAAGCTGTATCTCCTTCGTGCTTTCTGTTTGTTGTAAATAGGTTAGTCGCACTCGTGGCTGAGTTATACATCCCACTAGGTGCTTTTATCAGCCATATGCCTCACTACAAAGTGATCGTAGCTAAGAATAGTCAGCTAACTTAGAGTACATGAAATGACAAACACTACTGAGTTACCATGAAATTGATCAATTTCTACGCCTAGGAGAATAACCCATCTCGGGTGAAGAAGCAATTTGGTGGATGGATGCAGAAGTGTGGGAGTTAATCAGGTGTCGTTTATTCTCTTTTAAAAGTGTTACTTCTGCGATTTTTTGTTTTTGTTTTTTTGTAAATGCACCCTTTTTAGAATGTGATAGAGAATGGTAAGTCGTAGCTGAAGAATGAATAAGAAACCGCAATGAGAATTTTCCAAACTTCGGGACTGGTTGCAGACTTTCATTAAAAAAAAAAACCTTTTCCGAAAAGGTTATCGCGGTTCACACTCAGCGCAAGATTTTTGTAATCAAGGCGATCGCTCAGGGACTGGTTAAGTATCTTACATGAAAACGTTAATGAAATTAAAAAGATGCATGGACTGTGTCTAAAAACTCTTTCCGTTTCGTACATGGATTTCTCACTTAAAATCTCTCCTTTTCCTGAGAACTGTTTATATAAAAAGTCCAAATCAAAACTACCTTTACACTTCCACATAAATATGACGGTTTTCACAGCGAAGAGTAAATAATATAATCACCAACTAAACATTCTGTCTTTCTGTTTTCACAGGTGGACTAGCCTGTTTCTGAAAGGAGTAAGCCGGATTGAGAAAGTTGAAAGTTATGCATACCCCCAGTAAATTCCTTGCTTATACATTTGCCACAATTCAAAGATATAACTGAAAACAAAAGGAATTGTTTTATAGAGTAGTCCAACACTTAGGAGATAGAAATAAGGAAAGATCTTGAAACTAGAATGTAGGTGGTTAAGAATGACAAAGATGAACCTTTTTGCTACAAGAGTGTGGGTGAAAGCGTGGGTCCAAAACACCCCATGAGGAATCGAACGCTTAACTCTTAGGATCTCGCGGTTCGATGTTCTAAGCCTGATCATAAGTTAAAGAAAACTTGCAGGGGGAGCAAGTCATCATTAGGTTCGATAAGCTACCAATTCTACCTTTCTGCTATGATGTCGAAACCGTCGTACTGCTCAAATGCTTATGACTGCGAATAACGACTTTCTTCATTCTACGAAAAAAGCTCAAAATTAACCACCTGTCTTTCTCTATATGCAAACTTGAGTATTTTTGGTAAAATTGCCAATTACGGCGATGTTGCTCCTCTAGTTCTATCTCGATCAAACTTTCAAAATTATTTCGTGATGGTGCTTCAATCTAAAAAGAAATGATGATAATAAAAAAAAACAAGCCACTAAAACAGGAAAAACGCTTCGAGCTAAAAAATATAAACTCCCTCTTTAGAAATGCCCATTCAAACTCTGTTATAAAAATGATCTTCAAATTCGTTTTCTATCAGACTGGAGTTCACCACAAAACTACATTGACTGTATCATTGCATCTTGAAAAGACCGTTCTACATTCATTTCTTAATCATGAAAGGCAAGATTTTCGCAGTGGTATTTTGTCTGATATTTGCAGCCTGCTTGATGTACCCAACTGAGGCAGTTTACCATTTACAAAGACCGCAAGGACTAAGATCTTTGGTATGTTTTAGTTTTGCATCATCATAATTCTGTTGTATGGGATTTCTCTAAATTATCGGTCTGGAAGTAAATTTTTAAAGCGTTTCCATACAGGGAAGTGGAAACTAAGCTTCTCTGCAAGTAACTGTGACTATCGACTGTGACAGTAACGATCGTTACAAAACACGCAAATAGTAAGTCGTCGATACATCAGAACCTGGTTTCATCAGTGGCCATGACCAACGTAACGCAATAATGACATCCTTTTTATTTATTTTTTTTCTTGCAGGCGATGAAAGATTCTCGAAAGGATATTAGAAACATATGCGCGACCATGAATGATGTTTGTAAAACTGAAAGAGAAGCCTTAACGCAAGGTTTCCAAGCTCAAACTACCGACTAAGGTCTTTCACAGAAGTGGAAAATTGTATTCAGATGAAAACCTAAGTGCAAATAAAATAGAACTGTGACATGAATGCTTCTTTTGTTTACTTTCAAATTCGACACACCACATCACCCTCTTGTCAGTACAGTGAGGGAGTCTTCTGATAAAAGATTTTGTTGGGATAATATCTTCGCTCACTCAGTCTCACCCATACTCGATTAAGAACAGTCTCTCGAAAAAGCGGTCTTAAACAAATTCAAACCATTATTGCTAATGCATTGACGCATCAAAAGACTCATTTGTCACTAAGACACAATTATCTTTATTGTTTACCATATTTTAACCTCTCTAACTTTCTTAAAACTCCTTCCTTCAATGTTCGATTGTTGCATAGGAGTTACAAGTGGTGATAGCTTTTTGCCGTGCTTTTTTCCCGCGTTTTACCCTTTGGCACTTAGATGAAATAAAACAGTGTTGGTAGAAGTCTTGAATGATTAGAGGTTGATTTGCAAAGGGGACTCACCTAAAATGTTTTGGGCGATAATAGCTTTTCCTTAGGATATCGCCAGCTTTTTATCTTATGTCAAACTTTAAGTGAAATATCGCACATCTTGGTGTAAGTCGTATGGAAGAAGTCGGTGTCGTCTGCTTACAGGAGTACATCCTTTGCACTCTCAGTGCGTTGATCGCCACTTTGGAATGCTCATGAGAAAGGCTTTACACGACTACCATTTATAAAATTGGTTACTAAAGCTAGTTTGAGGATAATACTTCTCATAGAAGCAATTCACTTTACACTTAAAACGTATCCAACTCATGTTTTGCAGCAGATTTCTATTGCCCCTGCGGGAAACATCAATCAAAATAATCGAAGAGCATCTGCTCACGAAACTGTCGCCTAAAAACACAAGTTCGGTTCTTTATTCCCCATTCTCGTAGTTTTTCGGAAGTGTTTCATTAACTCAAACAAATGTGCTGTCAATGGAAAATTTGATGCATTCTTCTTTTAAATGTTTTTTTTTTCACAATCCAGCGACTTGATCACCTGTGAATCGAAAGTTTCCCTTGCTAGCGAGTAAATTTTGTTCACCCAAGATAGTTAATTATTTTTGACTCCCGATAGGTGATTTCTTTTCTTCCAATTTTCCAAAGGACCCTAGAAATATTTTCCCACTTGAAAGAGATCAGATGCAACATGTTTTGATCATCCAGGGACGCAGAAACTTCTGGATTTTCCCAACACCATTTTCGTACTCGTACCACGCTACATTAGTATTTCACTCAGAGACGCCATACCCATATTAAAATCAAAAAGGAAAATAGCGGTAATTTTCAACACGATCACTCGACCGCAAGTACCATCGAATTTTTCTTTTACTTTTACTTTTCTTACTCTGGTAAAGTAGTTTTAAAGTAGTTTACAACTTCTGTAGCTCCCGGCGGCGAAACTAATTTCAAAAAGCAGTGTATACAAGTACAATCGAAAAACAAAAGCCCTCAGGACATCGCCTAAAAGAGGTGTAGAAGTTTCCTTTAAATTTAAGAGCACAGCGAACTTTAATTCAAATAGCACAGCCTTTGAAGAACTATCAGTCACAAATTTTTACCTCACCTTCCTTTTACTTCTATCAAATGGCCAGCAAGAAGTTCGCTTTGATAATTTCTCTGTTATTTGCTCTATGCTTCATGTTTGACACAGAAGCAGTTTATCAGCAGTGTAATACTTTTTCAAGACCATGCAACGGCAAAAGATCAGCAATTTTGGTATATCTTTTTCTTCATTTTTTTCTAGCAAATTAGTAAATTTTGTTCGCTTTTGAGAGCTGGTTAGTTTTATCCTCTGGCAGGTGACTCGTTTCCTTCCAATCGGTAATCGTATTTTAGTATGGAATGTTAACAACTTATTTTGATCTACTTGCAGAAGTCACGAACTCTTCAAAGAAACATGAGGGATATGTGCGTGGCCATGAGAAATATTTGCTCACTTGAGAAAGCTCAGCTGCAGGATTTTAGTTAGTTAAAAGATGGATTTGGACCTAGCATTGTGATGTCCTTGGAAGTAAACGAAGTACGAAATGACTACATCTCTTGTACCTAGAGAAACGACTATTACGATATGAAAAAAGCACCAAGGTAAAAGCATGTGAAAAATAAAAAAAAATTACAACGATAGAGCTTGGCTTTCAAAGCAGACCTGTAAAAAGTAACGATTCTCCCTCTTTTTACCATTTCATTAGCTTCACGCAATACCGAAGGTAGTGTGTGATAACAGCTTCTGCCTAAAAGCACGATTTCTATCCCTTAATATATTTATCCTTTTACGCCTTTCCAATGGTCGATGCCGAGTGAAATATCATATACGGCAGTCTAAGTAAAGGTCTTAAAGTCAGCACCAAAGCAAACGCATTTTGAGTGACTGAAGGTTAAATCATTCCACCGATCCGCAATCGAATTTGAGATGCAACAGCTTTTGCCTGAGGCATCGCTTGGGTTTTTCCTGAAACAAACTTTACAAGGTCGTTGTTCTCTGAATATTGCATGCCACAGTCGTGATATGGGTCTTATAAGTCAAGCATTATAAAAAACCTATTAAGATACGATCATTTAGTTTTTCGAAGGAATCTGCAAAAATCGTTCAAAAGGTATCAGCAAATCGTAGAATCATTTTGTCAGAGACATTGACTCGATGGATTACATCTCTTTTTTTAAACGAGTAAGTTGCTACAGGATTATTTGACCAACGTCATTTCTCTCTTGCAGTTTTGCTCAAAACGTGTCACCTGCTTGAACAAAATCTAAAGATGACCTTTCCTTTCAGTATCTTGGCATTCAGATATGTCGGGACACTAGGCAACACAATTGTTGCGCTCACCTCAGTTGTATTTGCACGTTCACTGACCGCGACTATGCGCCCTTCTGAATGAGGATATAACTTAACCGTCACAAATCGAAGTCAATAACTGCCTCGTAATTTTCATTTTCATTTTCAACTTTTAATAGAAGTTGGTCAATATGTCAGAGTAAATTGACTCCCTATGTTTCAGGGTAAATTAACTGCCATTTTAACATGTCTGGAAAGGACCCATTTGACTGAGGACCAAGTGGCTAGGTGTTCTCTGAGGGTTTGATGGAAAACCTTTTTCGAATATCGTGCTATAAAAAAATGAATGACAAGTGGAACACTCCACATAATTTAACCTGTTGTTGTAATTTGGTCCTTAGCCATCATCCGTCAGTCGAAAAAGATAACATGACTTTCATGATTTATCAAACTCTCTCAGTCGCAATTGTTATAGTTTTCTTTTAGACTCAGTTTTCCCTTTCTTAACGGCCGAGAACCCTAACTCTCAGACAGATGGCTTCGTACGCTCGAAATTCGGAGCAGTCATATCACAATCATAAAACGAAAACCCCCAAGAAAGCTGTTCATCGTAGATCAACATTCTACACGTGTCAATGTTTCATTAGTTGCTGCAGAAAAATTCATTTAGTTTTTCACTCCCACATTCGAGTCAATTTTAGCAAACGGCCGCCAAGAACTCCATATTCGTTCAACAATGGGCGATTGACAACCAGGCATGTGTTTCATTCCAGGTCCTGAGCGGTAGAATATCTACATAATTTGGAATAAAATAAATTTCATTTGAATCGCAGATTTTACTCTACTCTATTATTAATCGACCTGTGACTTGATAATGATGCAACCTTAATATTCATTACCGGGATCAGCGCTATTAAACTAACCAATTAAAATTGCAGAACGCGAGTATTGTTCTAATTCCGTATTCATAATGGAGAAATTCATCAAGGCCAGTAGGAGAGGATTACGTACGTTCCGCTACCAAATTGTAATAATGCCAAGCGAATTTGTTTCTCTCCCATAGCATTGTAGCTTCCCCTTACACTTAATGAAGTGATTAAGCAAGAAAACTTTTCTTATATTACGTTCTACACAAGTTCTACGTCTCACTTCCTGTAGAAAGGAATCACTCCAGAAAGTAAGAAAGCGTAAAGTTCAAAGTCCAACTTACTGAGACGATTACGTTTTATGCGTCCGTCAGACATCATCGAAGCCAGAACATTCAGGAGCATGATGTTTGAATGCGCGATAGCAGACTAGAATTGTTTAAATGGATACGCTATAAATTGAAACCTTAAAATTAAATTTAAATTGTTGCCTCCATTATCATGTCGGGCTTGGAGTCAAGTGTAATCCACGCTATTTAATTGGATGAAAGACCTACTTATGAAAATGCACTAATGGGAGTTCTTTGCGATAATGAAGACGTCGAGCTCTTCATAGAAATCAGTTAGTGTTTGTGTTCTATGGACATACTTTAAGTGATTTTTGTCATAGTACAGGTGTCAAAAAAGGTTTAGTAATGCATCAGCAAATAAAACCGGTATCAATAAAACTTTAGCATTGGTGTCTTCAGGACGCCATCTTCACGACTCCGTCCCATGCAACGTTACAGAAACTTTCCCAGGTAACAGTGCTAATATCAGGCTGAGAGTTTGGCTGGCATCGATTCCACAGATCAGAGGTGAATTCAACACTCTAGTTATCGACAGTTCGTGAAAATCTGCAATTAAAATTATCTCCGTACCTTCTCGATGTCTTTGGAGACGACTGGGCATTTGTCGTTACTCAGAACTTGTCCGAGGAGGACAACGAGCTCATACTAAACACTTTTATGTGAAATTTCTGTGTTGATCAATAAATATATTCTTAATACGTCCCCAATAGGTCCCCAACCATTTCGATCCAATTGCAATCATGCCATTAAACCACAATGCAATTGCAATCATGCCATTAAACCACAATGAGAAAAACCATCCCTTCCAAAGAGAAGGTGGAGGACAAAAGTATTTTTATTAAAGATGAAAGCTCTACCTGTTTCTACACTCTTTTCCATGGAGAAACCTAACTTTAAAAGATTTTGCTAAGAAAATTTCCAGGTTTCCGTTAACATACGTTTTTCCTGAGGAAGTATAGGAGTTTGATACAAAGCAAAAGCGGTGACGGTTTTCACACCTTTTTCTATCGAGTAAACTAACTTTATTAGATTTTCCTAGAACAATTCTTGGTTTCCTTAAAAAGTACCTTTTTTTTTCCTGAGAGAAGAATTCTTCTGCGACAGAACAGTCCTGACGCCCACTCAGGACGCAGCCATCTGCGCTGTATTTAATTATCATCATTATTACTTTTTTTTGGGGGGAAGGGGGGGACAATGAATTATTTGACCATTGAAAAGGACAAAATTTTTCCTCTTTCGCATAAACAATAGTTTCTTGTGTGATTTTTATGACCTAGAGCTAGAGCCTGTTTTTGCAAAATATTACTTAACTGAAGCCATCTGTACACCACCTCTGTCATATGATAGACGAAAAGGCAACATGATTTGACAAAAAACGCAACTAATGCAAAAGTAAGTGCTTTGGGGGAAGGAGCGGGCTAATTTCCCAGGAAGTTAGGAGTCATTTAGATCAGCTGCATGTTTTCTGAGTTTTCGTCAAACTGCCGCCATGTTGAAGTGGGCTTTAAAGAAATTGCTCTTTTGAACGTTATTTCGAAGGTGTTGATGGGCAATTATGGAAACACGCATGTTAAAAGCACCATTTCCTGTTGTCCCTATTATCAACGTGCAACTGTTTCAGAGAAATATTTTTTGCTAGTGTTTATTTTTCCTTTTGGCATAATTTGATATGTGCAGTCCACTCATTGCATCGAAAAATAAACGATTTTTCACCATCACAATATGGTAAAGAAGACATCATCCCTATTTTTATAACTGATTGACTACCAAAACTGCCTGTGTCTTTATTTTTGACTTTTTTCAAAATTCAAAGCTTTACTCTCAGACTAAAGTTTGACATCTCTCGTAGGACGCCTTTTTGGATTATTTATACAGTCTGAAATAAAACAAAAAGCGCGTCGAGGAAACGATTTTGGCGTCAGAACCTCTCTAACGAGAATATTTCTAAGAGTATTACACAATAATTATGGGCAAGAGTCCTCTATAAATTAGAGCTCGTGAATGGACATCATTCAGAAATTGAAGGCCATTTGGGTTTCACTAACTTCTCAGAAATGGACAGTAAGGCCGTCGTGTTGGTATTTTGCGTCCTGTTGGCAGCTAGTTTTATGTCCGAAACAGAGGCCGTTTACAGCCAGAACCCGGACAATAATGGAAAGAGATCATTGGTCAGTTTGTTATATTGTATTTTTTTCATAATTCTTTAAATCCCCTAATTTTCCAGTTTATGGCCTACAGCAGTGCAGTCAGTTAGAAATATCACTGAACTTTTTCATGAAACAACCAGCTTTAGCGGGGTTATTGGTGACGTTTATGGGTCTCGAACTTAATCAAATTGGAATTGATGAATGGCCTTTTTCTCTAAAATCGGGATGATAAAAACTGAGGTCAGATAGAACGAGGCCAAAGCTTACGCTGCTGTGATGTTAATCCAAAAAGAAGAAAGGGAACATTTCTTCTCTTCAAGCCGTGCCAGCTTTAGAGTTCCCATCAATTGTTATATTTGCTATCTTAACTTGTTTATTCTTAAAGAATCGATGTCACATTTCATAGTTCTCGAAATATAAAATCTACCATATATCAGAGATGAAAATACAAAAAAAATTAGGTTTAGTTTGCAGCTCGTAAGTCATGAGGTATCTTCAGTTACTCTTAACTTAGTTAAACGTTACTTTTCATGACATAGTGATAAGGGTGCCGCAAATGACGTCATAATACTTTTAAAAAGTCATCGATGAATACAGACGAGTATATTTTTCTTCAGTCAACCCTAAAGAATGAACTGTTTTTACTCACTTGCAGAAATTAGGCAATGTCCGGAGGAATATCAGGAACCTGTGCGCTTCCATGAACGATGTTTGCAAAACGGAAAGAGACGAACTGCAGGATTTTGATCAGTTAAAGAAGTAAATGGATTGCTGGTTGAGTTAAACCGATTACAACTATTCAAGGTGTTAAATGGATAGAAGAGTGAACTAAGCTGACTAGAACATTTCAGAGGTGTTGAAACTCTCTTGTAAAATCAATAAAATTGCGTACAAGAATTTTCTGACGATTTTTTTTTATCTCAGAAAATTGAATATCCTTTTTCTATCATAAGGCACTAATCGAGGAAAAAACGACCCTTTCATAAAG